AGTTGACAAATTTTTTACATCTTTATCAGGAACCGAGATAAATGGGCTCAAAGTTGAAAGTCAGGGGGCACTTCTATTACAGGTTTTACGGTATCTCTGTTCCTGCAAGAAATGTCAGAATGTAGTCCACTGACAAAATGTTAATCAAATTATCAAAAATATTTTGTTAGTTAGCAGCTTTTTTATTTCCTATACAGGTATTGAGATAAATTGGTTCAAATCTGAAAGTAAGAGGTAGCGTTCTATTAAAGTGCTTACGGTTTACTGTTTCCTATACACATATGAGCTGATTTCCTTATTTCAGCCTAAAACCAATTTGAAGTGAAGCCCGTAATACTGAAAATTATATATAAAATCACTAGTGGAAGAATATTTGTGAGCAAAAAAAGACGATGCTTCTTCTACAGAAAGGGATAAAACTGAGGAGGTCAATACATAACAAATTCGGTGACGTGTGAAAAAAATATGGAAAAACAACAATTCCATCCGCAGAGGGAACTTTATGCTGGAAATAGTGAATACCTGGACCAGGAATAAAAACTACAGATATAAAAAAGAAACATATAAAAGTTGAAGCAATTAAAGAAGAGGAAGAGAAAAGCGAAAAGTACATATTCCCGAGTTATTTATTATTCGGGAAATGCGTAGCGGAAAGCCGTCTGGAGTTTTTTTCGGGGGAGTAGGAGGAGGTGAATTCAGAATTCAAAGTATCCAATGGAAGTGAATTCAATTATCATAATTAAGTGTGGTCGCTCAGAATGAAATGCGCAAAGAAGCGTCTCGAAATTGGAAAAAAAAATCTCGATTGTTCCCCACTAAACATCTACAATTCCCTTGTCAATCCAGATTTGTTGACACTCTGTACACACCCTTAAATTGCAGGTTTTCCACCCTAGCTCTAGACACAAAACGTTCTCTTTAGGAGTCAGAACAACTATACAAAAAATTAGGCAAGGAGGAGCTCTTGTGCCTGCCGTTTTTCGCCTTTAAAAAAGAGACATAAACTGGTGGAGATGAGTTGAATTATTCACAAAAAAGGAGAAGGAGGTCAACTGAAGCAAGGATGGGCCCCCATTTGTAACCAAAGGACACTATGATATTGTGAATGAAAAGGGGAAAATGGTTGGAAAATTTTAAAAGGACATTTGAATAAAAGGATGAGTGAAAGCAGACATGATTTTCAGGGCAATATGTAGTTCTGGTGGGAATAGAAGAAAGATACTGCCGTAAAATCTGTAACAGAAGGGCCTCCTAACTTTTAACTTTGAGCCAATTTTTCTCGGTTCCCGTCGAAGATGTAAAAAAGTTGTCAACTGATAAATTGTTTATCATAACATCAAAAGTTTTTGTCGGCTTCGCATCACTTCGAAACCGCGACACTTTGAAACCAGTCATTTTGAAACCATTCGAAACCGTGGCAATACAGATTTCCTGAATTGATTTCTAATTTCCTGAATTGATTTTCAGGCTACAAAAACAACTTTAGAAGTTTCAAATATGCTTTTATTGATAGAACACATTCTGAAGCTAAAAAAATAAAAATAAATGTTTTTGACAAAATTAAATATCGGATTTTTTTTGTATTTCAAAATGTTTTATATCAGAAAATGCATATTTGAAAACCAATGAAAATGTTCTTGTAGGCTGAAATTTATCAATTCGTCTGTATCATCAGGGTTTCAAAATTACCGGTTTCGAAGTGACACGAAGCCGTTTTTTCAGTTGATATCTTTCATAGGAATTAAAATACCGTAAAACCTGTAATTTAACGCCATGGCATTCTATTTTTCGGAGGGGTGTTTTTGGATGATGCGAGTTGACAAAAGTTAGTTTTTTACTTGATTAACAGTGTACCAAAATGAAACAAATGGTGCGAAATTTCTAGATTCCACTGCTACTTTGTTAATCAAACATTAAAACTTTGTTCTGCTACCTCCAATCACCTCTTGAGAATGGCGTTATATTAGAGGGGATCTTCTATTACAGGTGGCGTTATAATACAGTTTTTACGGTAATTGAGCCCAAACTTGACAGTGTGGAGGCCCTTATATTACAATGCAGGTTTTCTAATTTAGGTTTTACAGTAAATTTCAAAGTTAGCTCTGAAACTAAAAAAATAAGAAACGTCAGTTTTATTGTTAGCTCTTTGAAAATATCTCATGAGTAGTGTATTCTATAAATGAAGGCAATTAACGAAAAGTGGCTAGACTTCTGACAATTGTTCGGAGCTCAAAGTTATTTCAATTTCAAGTAAAAAAGAAAGCATCTCACTTTCCATATTTTGGTTGTAGAAAAATGTTAACCTAATTTTTGAGTCAGGAGCCGCAGAGAGAAAAAACACACGCCAAGAGAAAGAAATGAGTGTACAAATACAATTATACACATTTTGGACCTTGAGCAACCTCTCGACTCCAAACTCCACTTCTCCAGAAAAGAGGCTGAAAGTGACAGAAGAATGTTGTGAAGTGGGGTAAAGGCACAATGAGAGAAAGATTTCTAATTTCCTTGCGATAAGAGAAGAATCGTCTTCTAGAATATCTTCATGGTTTGCCTCTCATCGGAAAGAATGTCTGACGCTTGAACGGAAATGAAATGTGACACTATGTAAGTCTTATTTAAGACACAAAGTTGGATATTTAAGACACAAAGTTGGATGAAGTATGGAATACAGGGAGGCAAATAAATTATGAGCACTTTATCATTTTTCTGTCTTTCATGAATATCATATTCTCCAGAAATTTTATAGTGGACACACATTTCGGAAAGCTCATCTCATAGAGATTTTAAAACCAGTTCGGACACCTAAACTCATACTTATGAGCCAAAACGTTTGTATATCTGATGTTTGATTGGGGGAAAGGTGTGAACTCTCATGATTGGAACAAAAAGCAACTGGGAAAAGGGGATAATGAGGCTTGCTCCTCACCTGAAATCTTCCCCAACGACTCTTGCCGACCTAATGCACAAAATGATAAATGATCGACAATTGAAACGACTCATCTGCTGAACGTCAGGAATCTTTTGAGAAAAGAGAGCTGCCAGCCCACGGACCAATATCTCCCTTTCGATCTTTCTTATCATTATTTATCACTTCATTGAGGTCATACAAACAGAAAATACTCTTGTCAGGGGCACAATGGAAGAAAAAGATCAATTGACAACGAAAAACCCGTTGGTATAATTTAAGAGGAAGATTTTCAAAGATACAAATATATGGACAAGTGAATTTTTTAGGCGAGTGTGGCAAATCTAAGAAGTTTCCGTTTTGAGCTCGAACGATTTTGATCATCTGAAACTTTGAAATATTATATTTCAAGTAACGATTCTAATCTTACCTCTTGATAGGTTACTAGCAGCACTTGGCTCATCGCTTTGAATCTCCTGAATCTCATCGTCTTCTGTTTCTTTTCGAACTGATTTTGCTTTCCGCAAATCGGTTTCCGATGTGGTCAGGAACAATTGAGTAGATTTAGTTAACTGTTTACTGTTCTTTACAAAACGATTCTTTTCTTTTCGATGCCGTCGTGCTAGAAAAATAAAGTTACCTTTGAAGATCTTTAAGATTCAATGTCGCGTCCAAAGCTTTCAAATCTGAGACGTCTGGGCCCAAAAAGCAATCCAAAGTGACGCCCAGATTTCCAAGGTTCCCGATTCGCACAGTCGAAACCAGTGCGACCGTACACACCTACCGCGCCAAGACCCGCAAAAATTAATAAAATCTAATCCATTTTAAAAGGTTTTTGAAAACTTGTTGTCTTGTTTTTGACAAAATGCGTTTTTCAAAAAGTCTCGCAAAACTTTTTGCGGGCCTTCGTGCGGTAGGGGTGTACTGGCGCAGGGGCTTAGCCTATTCCAATTGTAAACCTTGGGCCCAGAAATCCAAGGTTTGGAAATTTTGGACGCGGCCCGAGAAACAAAACGAACCTTCAACTTCATCAGGAAGAATAGAGAGCTCCAATGCTTTCTGAGCTGCCATGACAGTTGTAAGAGCAACTCCGTTTGTCTGAAATCACATAGTTACAGAACCAATATCTCGAAATCTCTATTCTTACTCTTTTTCGTTTTTCTAGTCCCAACCAGTGTTTTATTATGGATCTGTACTTTGACGAGAAGATTAAGTATACAAACATAGAACTGGAAGAGTTCAAACTGATGAGAAGATTCGAGATCTCCACAGAGAAATCGAATGTCCATTCATCAAAAATGCTCCAATCTTCATCGTAATCTTGTGATTGCTCTTCGATCTGAAATCTCTACAATTATAATAAAGTACACGGATGTGTTAAAAGCAAAAAAGATTATCATAATGGGGGTTAATCTCATCCACAAAAAATATCTAAAGAATTAGGTGATGTCAACAAAAGTGTACTTTTGAAAAATGGGTTACCTCGGGTAAGAATGAAGTTTGATTGAAAGCATCGGACTCCTGCGCATGTTTTTTGACAACGTGCACGTTGTCGTAGATGTTATTGCAGAATGCAAGACAATTACAACATAGAAAAATAGCAACAATCGCCAGAAGCATCAGAGTTACGGAACGATCTCGAAGAGAGTTCCCGTTTGTTTTTAATAGCGATGGAGTTTTGAGTGGACTGAATTTTATTTTGAAATCTCTGCATTTTTGTATTTCACTTACTTGAAGTTCAACCTTCCAAACCTTCCAAATAGCTCACTGTATTTGGCTCCCTTCAGCATTCGGAAGTTGTTCATGATTCTTCTGAAACTGAGAGAATATTTAAATCTTAAATGAAACATTTTTAAAAAGCTAAAGCAAGCACGCCATTCCAAGTGGGAAATGCAAAAGAAACACTCCAGGCTGGGAGAAAATATTTGGGGATTTGATGCATTCTAACATGACCGAGAAACTTACTTGTCGAGTGACTTCCATGTGAATGTACTGGAACTAAATCTTCTCTTTTCTTTGAGAAATTCAAATACAAGGAGATAATAACAATAAGGGCTCTCCCCAAAAAGAAATTCTTATAAAAAACAAGGCAGACTTACGATTGAGTGCTCTTTTTCATCGATGTACCATTCCTCATTCTGGTGGATTCTTTCAATGCGACCACAATCCGACAATTAACAATGATCAAAGTAATGAATGGAATGATGAACATGATCAATGTATACATTATACATTTTGTTATCAGCGTATATTTAGAGTTCATTCTCAATGGAGTCAGGAAGATGGACCTCAATGGACTGTTGAAACTACTCGAATAGCAGGTACGGATATCCAACTCCAACCAAGTATGAAGGTTGATAACAATACTAAACACAATGGATCCTGAAAAAAAAACACATTTGCTATGTTGATTCCTATTACAAGAGAGACATACCAATGATGGCCCATTTAACTGGTTTTCCAGAAACCCATCTTTTGGCTCTGAACGGATGACAAACACCCAAATATCTGTGGACCGACACTAGAACCGTCAGATAGACTCCACAGGTTTGTGTGCTCAATCCAACTGGATACGCAAACCACAGAAACACAGGATAATAGTCGTGTAGTAAATAGTTATTGCTCATCGATGCAATAACTGGAAATATGAGCATAAAGAAATTGCAAACCAGAAGAACTAGGTCGGATATTGAGAGAACCTGAAATTCAGAGTTGAATTTTTTTTCAATGATTATCTAACCAGCAAAAAGTGATTGACAAGAGAACATCGCATTTCCGGATCGCAAAATACAATTACATTGATGACGTTTGTGATGAAACCAAATATTGCAATCGGCATTCCTGGAACACTAGGTTGAGCATAAGAATAGTAAAATCAAAAGTACCTCCAAACAGTCGAATTGTTGCCTGAATATCGTTGAATACCGATGGTTCACAGTCTGGTAATTCTGCGGCATCATAGATGACAGTAGATGTCATCGGTCTGAAAAATTTATGAAATGAGTTATACATAAAAGAACAGGTGAAGAAAAATGGAACAACAAATAAGAAAAATATAAAGGAATTAGAATATATTAAAAATATCGAAGAAGGAATAAGAAGGATGGCGGTGCAAATTCACTAGGAGATTAATATATCAAGGTCTTCCGATTAAAATTTAAAGAAGGTTGCGAAAAGTGTAGGAGGGAATGAGGAGAGATAAGGAGGGAAAGCGTTTACTAATTTTAGAATTTTGAAGATTTTATTCTAATCTCTTTTTTGTGAAGACAGATTTATGGGAAGATCAGGAAGATATCACAATCCCATTATTCAATTAATGTCAATTGGTCTTTGTTGTCATCTTCAAGAATGGAGAGGAATTAAAATGATTTTCAAATATTGACAAATTTTGGAAAAAATGTTAAAGTTGATATAGAAAGTATGGGTATTCCTGGAGTAATTCATGATACTTAAAACATGTAATAGAAAGGGCCCTTCAATAAAAGGTTCTCTTTAATAGAAGGGCCTCTCTAATAGAAGAGCCTCCTGTAATAGAAGGGTAGACTTCAAAATGTGTTGTTTGAAATGAAAATGTTCCGTACGTTTACAGTGAAAAATGTTCCAGAAATTCCACAATTTTGAGGGAAATTTATAGATTTTCATGGATTTTGAATGAAATTTTACCGAACTTTGCGATGGAATATTTCGAAAAAATTGGCCAGGAAGAAAGAGGGAGCAGCTTTAATTGAAAAAGAACGGCTCTCCGGAGCTTGTTAGAACAATGAAAGCTCCGGCCCTCCCATTACATGTTTTACGATGAGTGGAAAATGAGTAGTGTCACATTCTATGGATCTTCAATAATTTGAAAAGTTTTTTTAAAATATGATTCTCCTCTGTTCGGTTTCTCAATCGGTTTGTAAGCTTTGATATGGAATCCCTTCCGAGGCGATCGGATTGCAGAGCGCTTTTCCTTTCCTCAATAATCTTTTTTATTATCTTACTTCCGTGGGAAGTGATAAGATTCCGATGATAAGCCTTTAGAATGAAACTATTAGCTCAAAAAAGTTTTAATCCCGGACTCAGACAAGGTACAGTTCTAAAATCATTGAACGAAGTAGTTCTATTCGATCTATAAGAATCTCTAGTAAATAACTTCCAAGCCTATCAAAGAAGATTTGGGACTGTTCTTTCGTGGTACGTCAAACGAAAAGACAATAGCTTCCAAGAAAATGCGGAAACGCGTCAGAAAATGAAAAAAAGTGAGGGATAAGAAGAAAGGGAATAGAAGAAGCATGGATGGTGGGCTTCTTTGGTTTGATCTAATCCGGACAGAGATCCTCCTGAAAAAGAGGGAAAATGTGCAGAACAAAAAATCGAGAAATGAGGAAAAATATCAGACAGGTAGACCAAGGATTCCCAAATGATTGAACGGGAAAAAAAGGAGAATAAAAAGAAAATATATGTTGTAGTTTTGCAGACCATTGGAAAATAAGGTGAGCGCCTCTCATCATCTTGGAAAAAGAAGGGAAGAACGGGAGAAAAGAAGAAAGAATATGGAAAAGACAAGATAAGAACACATATCGACACAAAGTCGGATCATCGAGGAAGTCGTTGAGCATAAGGTAATAATGTGGAAGGGAAAAAATACGAAAAACAGAGGAAATATTGAAAACCATCTGAAATCAATTGATGTAGATGATTTAAAAACGTTTTTTTTTTTCAATTTTTTAGGTCCCAAAAAAGAAACACAGAAAATTAAACTCTTTCTATGTTACGGTTCTTGTCGTTGTGGGACCTTCAGCCACGTCACCGCCGTTTCTTTTCCACAGCTCTGATCTTTGTATCAGAAAAATAGAAAGTCTATATTTTATAAAAAGACCTTTCCGTTTTCCTTTTAGCTGAACTATTTCGGATATCAAGAAAAAACTAGAAGATTGGCAGTTTTAAGGTTCTAGGAAAAATGATATATCTTTCAAAAATAACAATTTACGAAAAGAGCATGGTTGATTAGTAAGAAGTACTATAACTGATCATTATCATTTTCCGGTCGTGAGCGGTCATGTTAAAAACGTCAGGCAATTAGGTGTTGTTTCTAGACTTTTAGTGGGTTAAACTGAAATCTGAGTCTAGAAGAAGCCACTAGGTTTCCATCTACGGCATTCAAAAGATCTATTGAATGAATTGAGCATATAAATTCTGACATGAAAAGAAAGAGCCTTGTTCTGGTTCTAATGAGGGAACAATAATAGAAATATTTCAGTTGGGAGTGAAAAGAAAACGCTTACGATAGACGGAAGTGCTCAACTTCCGTTTGCGAATAGGTTCCTTTCTTTTTTTTGCTTTCAGTGCACGGAATTTGCTGAAAACTGAAACATTCGTTTGATATGAGCTCAATAGAAGGAATGAGGCGTGACGGTTTTTTGACGGATCTTTTTATCTGAAACTACAGCGTTTCCAAAAAGTATCAAGATAGATTCTATTGGAATTTTTGAAAATGAGGAAGTGATCATTTTGAAAATCAAGTTTAATTTCGTTCTAACAGCTTATCATACGAAGGCATTAGTCTGTTCACTGAAAACTTCTCTTATTTTCGAAATCCTTCTGAAAAACAAAATTTCAGCAATGCCAAGGATCTCTTATTTCCAAAAAATATTCCAAAAAAGAAAACCCTTCGACCCATATCTGTTTAGTCAAGTGATACTTTGATTGACACTTGTTTTGTTTTATTTTTTTAATTTTTCCAACTTCAGGAAATTGAGCAGAAGCCAGTATTTTTTCCTTAAAGAAAATAATTTTTTAAAAACAAGAAGGAATTTAAACTTCATGAAAATAAATGATCAGGGAAGTACAGTGATTTTAAAGATCTCATGTGGTTCTACTAGAGCTCACTGAATTTTCATAACGCTTCAATGAGTGATTATCATTTTACTACGTATCAGGAGCACATAATCACAAGAAACTTGACGAAATCTGTGAAGCAGAAGAATTGATTGACGTGGGACGGTATAGGTCATGCGGAAAGAAGAAGAAAGTTCAAGAAATCAGACAGAAAATTTAGGAAGAGAGATAAGAAGGATGATTATTTGATTGAAAAAAAGAAGAAAATCATAAACGCAGACGATCGTTCAAAATTATGCGGATATTTCGATTCTTAGGAAAAAAATTTAGGCAAACAATAAAAAATATCACAGATATGGATTTCTTACTTCCGAAAATATATTAGAAAAATATTTATCGATTTATAACACATAAATTATGAAACTATAAAAGTTATCACATCACAATCAGCATATCAAATAAAGCCAAAAAAAGTTGCATCAGAAATGTTGCGATATTTCTTCCTGCCTAGACTTTTTCAATTTCCTTCCAACTTTCAAAATAAAAAACCAAAAAAAATCCTCCAAGCTCTTTTTCCTTCTTCACTCAAATCCGTTAGTCATCAGACAAAACATGAGCATCCAAGATGGGAATACTAATATTCGAAGAAGCAGAAAAGCAGCAGCCTTGAAAGAAGAGAATGTGTCCATCCTGTTCCAGACTGACGATTATAATATTAACCGGGGGAGGGAGAAGCCCGGAAGCCGGTGATGGTGTGACATAAGCACTTCTAAGTGGAATGCGTGAGCGTCACTAGGTGTAGAAATGTGAAGAAGAAGAAAAAAAAGTGACAAACAAAAACATCTCAGGAATCGTAGATAATGTCAAGAAGGCATGTTGGAGAGCTTAAGTAGCATGACATTTCGTCAGTTTTATGAGAATTCGGAAATTAAGAAATTAAGGATCTTGGACAATCGGGAAGCACGTTTCTGACGCATTCAAGAACAACAGCTAATGTAACATTTGGCTTTTGGTGTTTTTTTAACTTAAAACTTTCTCAGAAGACCAATGTTTCATCTTTTCTTTTTTTTTTTGAATCGATCAGTGAGTTAGATAAATACCATAAAACCTTTAACAGAAGGGTCCCTAACTTTCCACTTTGATCCCAATTTTCTCGGTTCTTGAGAAATAAATTTAAAAAGTTGTCAACTGAAAAATTGTTTACCATAAAAAATTATTTTAACAGTGGAAACATTTTTGATGCTCCATGCATAGGAGCAAACAAAAATTATCTCAAACTTGACAGTGTGAATGCCCTTCCAGTGCAGGTTTTACGGTAGTTTTCGAAATAAATAAAAAAATAAGTTAAGGGCACATTGAACCGTTTCTGATCGACAGACACCTATTCCAAAAGGTTGGTTTTCACAGTTCACCATAAAGCTATCAAAAATGTCACATGTGTATTTGAATGTGTAAAAATTATCACTGGCATAGCTGAAAGTTGTTGTCAGAGATGATAGGACTAGAAAAAATCGAAGATGTCCGGAATGATTTTTTTTTGAGAAACAGAATCCGGAATAAAACAATTCTTTCGGAATGTGGAATTTTTGTTAATTTCTCGGAAATTGAAATAGGAAATTCGGAACGAATAAAAGCGAGGAATCCGGGATAAGGAACACGGAATTCGGAATCCATACATCTCTGGTACGCACATAGTTAAAGTTACGGTTTGAGGGTGTCGGTCTATTAGAAAAAGTTCAGTTCGCTTAACGCTTAACTTCACGTTTTTTTCAAAACACGTTTCAAAATTTTCGAATCTGGCACGCAGCCAACTTTTGTGTGCGACGAAGCGCGCGTTTTTCACGTTCCCAACCGCGATGCCGTGTTCAATCAGATTGAGCAGTCATGACCCGAGACTTCTCTGGAGGATAAATGGTGATGTTTGCAGGTCAAACCTGAAAACGAAGAATGACGTGGAAACACAAGAACGAAAAATGGAAATGACGATGATGTCTTCTCTTCTTCTCTTCTAGTGATGAACCTATTTTTATGAAGAAAATTGGTGAGAAAAGAAGGGAAAATTGGAAGAGCTGCACGCCATTATTATATTGAGTGTGGAGAGAGGTAATTGAATTTCAGTTTATATATTGTGTTTATTGGTCGATTATGGTGTCCATATTGGAACAGAAACACACATCTAGAATTCTTATATCACCAAAATAATAAGAGAAAAAAAAGAAACGAAGATAGAACTGAACAAATTAATGATGATACTGGTTTGGAATGAGGCGAGATGAGAAATAACAAGATGGCAGATTAATCGGGCCGACGGGAGAAAAAAAGGAGGAGAAGATAATCGACTATGTACACACACAGAGCAATAGGAGTCATGGATTAAAAAATAAAAAGATTCAAAGAGAAAAAAGAAGAAAAAGAGAGAACAGAGCTAAGGAATAAATTATGATGATTATGGTTGGAAAAGGTAAAACAGCTGGATATATTCTTTAAATAAAAGAAGGAATACTTCTGACGATTTTCGTTATTTCTTCCTTTTCTTTTCAAAAATAATCGCCGGAATTAATAACTCATGTCTCAAAAAATGGATTCATTTCCATTACAGTGTATGCCGACTCTTTCAAGAATTATTCTAAAAATTTGATGCTGTAGTCGCGATTGATTCAATTGCTACTGTTCGATACAAAAAAGTACAGTTCATTCTCCTAGTGCTCCTAGTGATTCTCCTATTTTGAAAAGTGATTTTTTTGATATATTATATATTATAAGTTCAGCTGAGTACCCACCGAAGTTAGGTCATTTACGACTTCTTAAAAATTTAATTTTCATGACTTCTGAGATGAAGTTAAATAATTCGATGAATGTGAAATAACTGTCTTCTGTTTTCTTTAAATCATAAGGTAATGTGCTCTTCTCAAAGCAATTGTTTCAATACCCTTTAATAGAAGGTCTTCCACACTGTCAAGTTAAAGCTAATTTATCTCGGTTCCTGTTATCAGAAATGTGTCAAATGACAAGACACTTCTGATATTATGATAAACAATTTATCAACTAAAATTTTTCTTATATCTTTGACGAGAACCTAGAGAACTAAACTTGAAAGCCTGAAAAAATCTGTTACTCACAATTTCTTCTAATTGCTCAAGTAATGATCGGAAGTCAGAATAAGAAGAGTGTATACTCGATGCCGTGTGATGCATCTTTTTGCACCGATTGCCAAGCAATGCACATCTTGAATCCCATCGCAAAAACTTTCGATCGGGGGATTTGCCTAATCGAATGCAGATTTATTATCGTTGTTCATTCCACATTTAAGCTCTTCTCTTCATTTTTATCCTGGATAATGCAAATTCGAAGGACAGGAAGACGGGATAAAAAAGGTTTCCGAATGGGAAAATGCAAATTCTGTGCTTCTTTGAGAAGTTGTGATTTTGGGACATTCGGTTAGAAACCAAAGTGAGGAAAAAGGCGAAATAGAAAATGGAGCCGCCGGAAACTTGAAAGTGTTCCTAAGTGTTCGTGTGACTGGCACTTTTCATCTCCTCTGAAACTAGAAACTCAATTTTCTTTTCCCTTTTCCCTATTCTAAAAACCCCTCTCAAATGGACGAAAAAAAAAAAGTTCCGTATTGAATTTGAAAGTGTATTGCAGGATTATCTTCTCTCGATTGCAGTGTGAAACAAAAGAATCGAACAAAAGGCATCGAATTTTTCATTGCCCTAAAAGTCTATCGACTAAATGCTAACGTCACTGAAAAAGGTGTCAATTTGATAGAAGATTTGGTTTTTGAACGATTACAAAATGGAATTGGGTGAACAGCCGGAGAAGTGGAAATATGAACATGTGATCAGCAACATTTTATTTTCATTAAAAGAAAACAGAATTATTCTGATATGCGATATAAATTTTTACAGGGATCAACATAGAATCTGAAAATATTAAGAGTTTCAGTAGAGCATAAGTTGAAGAAATCTACTCAAAAGAAGTTTCAGCGCTCTCACAATTTACTGAAAATCAGAGGACAAAATTCTTACAACGCCATCGTGAAAAATTAGAATTTCCCAATTTTCACTGCCAGTTTTTTTTCAAATTGAGGGGAACCTTTCCGAATGGATTTTGTAAATTATGCTCAGCTGAAACATCCAAAATTTTTTGGATTTGGCTTCAATCCAGGTAGGAAATTACACCTATTCGAAAAAATCTATACACTTTTAAACCGACGAATAATCATGAAATTGCAGACAAAAAATAGTAAAAAATAGTAGCAAATTCGACGGGCCACACATTGAAGAAGTTCCGATGGGTCCAATTGGTACGAATTTCAAAATCGAAATTCTGAAAATAATAACTCAAAAATTTTCTGGTTTATCTGAAACAGTTTCTGATTCAAAACATTTTTTTCGTTTACAGTCCCTATTAGAAATTGAATTCATGAGGGAAAATCTTTGCACTTCTCCTACGGGTGCTAAAACACGATTAATCTAAACTTCGTAGTCAGATTACGAAACAAAAATCGAGTGATCTTTTGAACCGAACAATTCTCTAGTTTCCAAATACTGGCGATTTGAGAACATATGTTTTGGTAGGTTGATACATACATGTGAATGTCCAGGCTAGACCGGACCGGGCCGCTTGCTCGAAACCTTTGGCCCTACCCGCTCGGTCTGCCTATAATAATTCCTCAATATTTGAACTTTCCAGATTTGTCCAAATTTTATCATGCATAGAGGAAAGGTTGACCCAAAGACACACAACCATTCAAAAAATAGTTTTATTCCATTTTTAACAAAAAAACCGAAATTCATTTTGCCAATGAAAAACTTCTTCGCTAACTGTGAGCCCAATTCAGTTTTTTCTACAGCATTATCCGCCAGTCTGAATCTTCTTTTATCAAAAAGAATCGCCATTTTGGAAACTGATGGTTCGCTTCAAACTTTTAAATTTTCAAAAAGACCGTATTTTATGAGTATGGTTAGAATTTTGTCAGTTAGCCGAAAATAGCAAGTTACAGTAATCTTCAAACCCGAAACTTAAAATTAAATTCTGAAGACGTACAAGCCAAGCGAAGCAGTTTATCATACGCTTCTCTAATAAAGAATTCCAAATCTAAAAAAAAGTAGTGTTGATGGTGTACATGACCCCGGTGCCCCCTATGGGTTTGGATTAATCTATCCCCCACCTCCTACTCGAATATCCTCTCGCTCAAAACCAAAAACGATTTCGATCGGTTGCGCGTGTGTAGATCGAAACAACGAGAAAAAACGAGTAGAACATGCCTCGAGTCTTTACCAGTTTTTATGACATCTATCGGACAATTTTTTGAACTTTACTCGAAAAATTATGGTTCTATCTATACTCGTTATTTTCGCTAAATTTTAGTTTTTTTTTGAAAATGTATCAATTTTAGTTAAATTTTTTATAATTACCATTTCACCTTAAGTTTGCCTTGTCTATTCAAAAGAATCCCAAGAAAATAAACCTTCTTCTGGAACTTTTTTTCTGATTCATTAACCTCCAAGTTATCATATTCAGATGGTTTTCGATTCACTGAAACCACCCTAATACCGATGGATAGTTACACTTTCCTTTTTTCATTTTTTTTTCGATTAAAGTTTCAAAAAAGAGGGATTATCCTCCGCTCTTTCTCTCATATTTTACTCCATTTGAACCGTTCCAATCGATGTAATCAGCCCTTTTTTCTCTTCGTTTTCATGTTTTCTATAAATTTTCAACATTATCAAATCCTTGAATAATTACAGAACTTCTTGCATATAATACTCACCTTTTTGAGTTCTTCAAACTATTTTTTCGTTCTTATGGAGTGTATATGAGTTTTGAAAGGTACTGATTTTAATAGTATATTTTTCTGACTTCAGTGTGTTGTCTCAGATCAATGGAAAATCCTTCATGTTCATCTTGGAAACGAAAAAATCGATGCCATCAGATCTATCAAACTACATCGATTATTTTGTCACAACTGTTCTTTTTATTATTATTCAGTAGTTTTTTCTCTCCAACCGAACAGTTTGGAATCTTCGGACCCTGTACTTCTGCCACGTGGAGTGATTGGAGTGCATGGAGCACTTGCCCAGTCACAACTGTCATTGATCCAACAATAGTTGCCAGAAGAACACGAAAATGCAATAATAGCCCATTATTCTGCAGTGGAGCATTGCCTTGCGAGTAAGTGATAAATAGCATTGCACTCTTCAATTTTCTCTAAATTCCAGAGGAGAAGCAGCAGAGACTCTAGTTTGCGGAACAACTACTACAAAAGGTATACTGTAGAAAACCGGTTTCACACTATAAACAAATCAAATTTTCAGAAAGATATTCAACTATTGTGTTTGGAACGTGAGTCATTATTTTTTCCAGAACTATATCTTGAATCTGAAATCCCTAATTTTTTAGAACGGCATTCGACGAGACGACGACAGTTGGAGATGTGACGACAACAGAATTAACAACGACGGAAGCGACGACGGCTGCGGCAACCACGACAGCAGACATCACCACCACCACAGCGGCATCTGAAACAACGAAAGACTCTGTGACGACGACTGAAGCATCTGCGACAACTCTAGCTTCAACAACGAAAGGATCAGATACAGAAACGACAACAGAGGGAACGGCGACTGACGCTACGACAGCTGCAGGATCAGCTACAAGAGATCAGGAAACTACATTAGACTTCACATTCCCCTCGAATGCTCCAGGTGTGGATACTACACTACCAGTCGAAGAATCCACAGCGCCATACGATGAATGCGCTGAACCGGTTACTACAGTTTCTACAATGGCGCCAGGAACCATGGGAACCTTATTCCCAGGAGGAGGAGGCGGAGGAGATGGTGGACTGGATCCATTCACATTCCCACCTACCCCCGATACAATGCCAGGTGTAACAAGATCTCCGTCGTGTAAAACAACTCCAGTTCTCACCACAACAATCGCATTCAAAACATGCACTATGATTGCTGTGTCAACAACAACTCCAATGATCAGTTCGACCACTTCGGCAATTGATTCCACGACAACGTCTTCTGGAATTTCAACTACTCTGGAATCGCTTAGCACCACATCAGCAAGTGAGACCTCGGCTGCTCCAAAGACGTCTACGGAATCAGATACATCAGATGCTGCATCAACAACTTCAGCAGCTGGATCTTCGACAGAATCCGATACAACACCAGGTGGATCATCCGAATCCCCAACATCAGGCTCACAAGTTCCCACCACTGAAGGATCTGTCTCTTCATCTGAATCAGCAACTTCGGAATCTGCTTCATCACCACTCGCCGAGTCCACAACGGAATCAAGTTCTTCTTCTGAAGGTTCCTCGGAGAGCCCATCTGCCACAACATTTGATAGTGCATCTTCCGAATCTGTAACATCTGATTCTCCACTTTCCTCTTCTGAACCGAGTGCATCATCTGAAGAACCAAGTGGATCCACAGAAGAACCTAGTGCGTCATCTGAAGAACCAAATCTGTCAACTGAAGAACCTAGTGCATCATCCGAAGAACCAAGTGCGTCATCGGAAGAGCCAAGTGGATCTTCAGATTCTCCGTCTTCAGAGGAGCCAATCGGATCAACAGATGCCGCGGGAAGTACAGATGAAACAACTCCGAGCATCATCGATGAGACAACAACAACAGAGTACACCTGTACGTTTCTTAGAATTCTAAAAGTCAACGCCTCTGTTGTCTTCAGGGTCAACCTGCAATGATTGCTCCCAAATCAACGTTCAATTGTTCAATGGAAATCCATATGAAGATGCGTCATCTGTTCTGAACCGTTATTCTGTGGCCGGTTGCTACTACCTACAGTTCTACTGTAGACCAATTGAAGTAAGTGGGAAAACAGAGAAACGTAAATAGGTAAAATAATAAAATTTCAGATCGGTGATACCACTCCAGTCAGCACAATTCTATCCGGAGATCTTAGCTATTTATCAGCTCCACTCGCCGCCAATCTGGCTTGTCGTGATAAGAAATGGGTTCTTCTCGATTCTACCAACGCACTCGCTTCATCAGTTTCTTCGTTGGGATGCGTCTATGCCATCGCTACCACGACGAAACCAAAAACAACGACATTCCCTGGAATCGATCCCAATAATCCCTGCATGAACTGTTCGAATCTGGTGGTCAGTCAATCGATATATCCAGAAGGCGTGACTTATCTCGATCATACTCTCAACTCGTGTCTATCAGTAGAAGCTCATTGCCTACCAATCAACGTAAGTTCTAGTCACTGTTTCTAATGATATGGCTTTCGGTTTTAGGGAGGAACCGAAGTGGAATTGATGTATAACAACAAGGGAATCCTGGATAGTGGATCTGCAGTCAATCGAACTTTCACATGCACCAAGAACTCAAAATGGCTAGATGTTTCCACCAACAACATCATCAACAACATCTCGTGCATAATGCCTAAAACAGTTACCACCACTCCAATCGTTGCGTCCACTCTTAGCGAGATTCCATCGACCGATGGCGGGTCACCGACTAAAGACTCTTCTATCAAACCGGTCACTGAACCAAAGACCACACCGGATGCGGAACCACCAGAAGAAGTCACAACTCCAGGCGCATTCATCAGTACAACTCAATTGGAACTCACGACTGTCGAGGATCTTCCATCAACAGTTCCAGCTGCTCCACCGACTCCTGGATCCACTCAAAATGAAGAAGAGGAATCAACCACCACGCTTCCAGCAACATGCAATAACTGTGTTGCTCTCGAACCGCTATCAAGACTTGGTCCTGGAAAATACAACGGAATGCTGGTTCTCTGGCACTATCGTCAAAACGGATGCAACCGAGTTTCGATTTCTTGTCAAGCCACAATGAGTGAATCTGATGTTGCCTATTTGTATTATAATCCGAACGGAGAAGTGATGACTGGAACAGGAGAGCTGGCTATGGATTTGGTATGTACGAACGGAAATTATGTGTATCAAGGGAAAACAATTTCAACAGTCAGTTGTCTGGCATCAAGTGAGTGGACTACAAATTTAGCTTTCCTAAACTTCCATTTCCAGCCTCTGCTGTGGTTCCAATCACGACTCTCCCTCCAATAACCACACCTGCTCCTGGAGATGATTGCAGTGGATGTAATCGCCTCCCAGTTGAAATTCTCAGTGTTTCATCTGGATACACCAATGGCCTTCTGAAAGCAACAACTTCCTATTCGAACTGCATGTCTGTGTATCTTACTTGCTATGGAGTTTTGAGTACCGATCAGGCTTACTTGGTCTATGCTGATTCTCCACTTTCCACTTCCAAAGCTAACACAAATTTGACATTAACATGTAATACAGCTGGAATGTGGGTTACACAAGCGCTCCAGACTGTTGAAAGCATATCCTGCGGATACGTTCCAGGTAAGAACATAGATTATTTTTATTTGAGACATCTTATTATCAGAAGTCGTGACTACAACTGCTCTCCCATCTTCTTGTGGGATCTGTGCTAACATGGAATCAGCCGAAGCTCTTCTTCAAACGGACAGCTACGATGGAATGATTGTTCTGTACAACTATGTGGATGCTGTGTCAAAATGCAAGAAAGTGGACATCTCGTGCCAAGGAACAACTAGCACCGAAATCGCTGATCTAATTTTCAATCCCATCGGGACAGTGAGTACTGGTCCAGGAGTTCATGAGATCAGTTTGAACTGTTCTTCTGATGGAAAATGGAAATATATGGGTTCTGAGATCAAAACTGTCAGCTGTATCATATCGGGTGAAATCCCTGGAACTCCGCCGACGACAGTGCTAGTACCATCAACAACGCCGAATCCTGCAATTCGTATGTTTGATTCTAAAGTCTAAATTTAATTCTTTTAATTCAGCGATGTGTGCCCAATGTTCTCGTCTCACCGCAGGAGCAGTATCCTCAATCGACAATTCTCTAATGAACGGAATCACCGCAATGACATTCTCAACAGAAAATTCTTGTTCAACAGTTCAAGTTGTCTGTTCTGGAGTCACTTCCACTGAACGAGTCACTCTTCTCGCTGCAACAACTTCATTGATCAGTGGTGTTGGATCTGTCAGTTTCAGCTTTAAATGCAATTCTGCTGCTGAATGGATGACTTCAGCTGGAACAATTGTGGATAGTGTAGCTTGTGGAAGATACAATTGTGAGCTTTGATTATAGAATAGGTTAATTTTGTTAGTTTTCTTTTTAGTGACAACATCTCCCACTCCCACTACCACGACCACGACAACGAGAACAACGACAACAGTTCCACGTACTACCGTCACCACTGTCACTCAATGTTCTAAGTGTGCCAACATGCTCGCCAAAGCAGTCAACCCAACGGATGGATCGTATGATGGAATGATCATCCTGAACCACTTCACGAGCACCAATGGATGTAGAGCAGTCGATGTTTCCTGTGGACCCACCCTGAACACTGAGAACGCCACAATCATCTTTGGATCCACCGTAGTCGCCACTGGAGCAGCAACACACTCATTCTCTCTCACTTGTGATTCCAACGCCAATTGGATCTACGAATCAACATCTGTTTCCACTGTCAGTTGTCTCATTTCAACAGCCACAAATGGAGTCACTGTCGCCCCAACTACCGCAGGAACAACAGTCAAAGATGACACAGCTAATGCATGCAGTCAGTGTGGAAGAGCCCCAATTGTATCAGTGGGATCAGGATCAACGTATCTCAATGGATTCACTACCGTCGTTCAGTCCACTGATTCGCAAGGATGTTCCATTCTGTATATCAAGTGTCAAGGAATGACAGTGAGTTGAGAACATCTTAAAAACAAATCAAACCATTCATTCCAGACCGGTGATGCAGTTGCTCTTCTCTCGTCCGGATTACCGTACTCCAGTGGATTTGGAACAGCCAGTGCCAACCTGACATGCAACTCCCAATCTCAATGGGTTGGAAGAACTTCATCGGTCATCTCATCATTTGCATGTGGTCACAAGAATGCAGCCACAACAAGATCTGTGGTTACCACTCTTGCTCCATCTGGATTGTGCACTTCGTGTGAAAACATGGTCGCGGTTTCGATGGCTGGAAGTCAATCAAACAGCTATGACGGGATGGTGATTATGGATCATTTCATCAGTCCATTCATAGGATGCCGAATGGTTACTGTCACTTGTGCTCCAACGGTTGCAACTGAAAATGCAACACTCTACTTTAATTCAAACACTATGGCCAGCGGAATGGCAAGCCATGAATTCGATCTAACATGTGATGCATCCGGTGTTTGGACATACGATTCCACAACTATCAACACTGTTGGATGCTTGATTTCCACTGGAACTGGAGTTGCAACAACTGTAACAACTATGGCACCTGTCACCAACCCATCCAATAGTTCGTAACCATTTCCTGAATAACATTCCTATTGTTTAATTTCAGACTTGTGCTCTCAATGTCCTCGTCTCCCAATTCAAACGGTTTCAAGCACTAGTGGATTCCAGAACGGATTCACCACTTTGACAACAACCCTCAACACCTTTGGTTGCAGTGTAGTTACGATGATGTGTCAAGGAGTTACGGTAATTTCTGATTAACAGATGATTCAAAAGTTTTAAATATTTTTAGTCTGATGAGCCAATTGCTATTGTTGTCAACGGACACTTCGCTGACTACGCATTTGGAATAGTTAACTACACTGACTTTGCTTGCAATTCGCAAGGACAATGGACCAGTACAAGTTTCGGAGTCGTCTTCTCCGTCGTCTGTCAAAGAAGCGTTACAACTGTTGCTACTACTGTGACGACTACAACTGCAAGAACAACTACAACAACATCCAACGCTATGTGCAACTCATGTGCAGATTTCCGTCCAAGAGCAATGGGATCAGGAGCAAACTACGACGGAATGGTTGTTATCAATCACTACAAAGACAGAGGAACATCATGTCGAAAGGCCACAATTGACTGCATGACAACAATGGACTACGAGACAGCTTCACTCTACTTGGACAACCAACAAATCAGTTCATCTGGTCAAGTTGAGTTGGATATGCAGTGTTCTTCGAATGGTGTTTGGATGTACAATGGTCAACAATACTCGACAACGTCTTGCTTGGTTTCCAGTATGTTATGAATTGGAAGACACAGATATAAACTATATTTTCAGATACAACAACATCTGCTGGAAAGAAGAGGAAGAAGAGACAAGCTGGAACAGGTCTGACTGCTTGCCAATCTTGCAGTGCTCTTCCAATGACATCTTTGTACGCTTTCTATCCCTACATGAACGGATTCTCGACTATCTCGATTGATGATTCCTCGTCTTGTATGACTGCCGTAGCAACTTGTGAAGGAGTCACCACCAGCGACTCAGTTGCTTGGATTGCTTCCGGAACTATCCTCTCAAGTGGAACTCATATGGTCAACATGACATTCACTTGCAATTCTCTGAGCACTTGGCAGACATCTACTGGAAGTGTCTTCTCGTCTTTGTCATGTGGAAGACAGTATGCAACGACTACTGTAGCAACTACCACTGTTTCATCTCAAGCTCTGAACTGTCCAAATCTTATTGCTGCTCCATTGAGTGCTGCTGAATTGGGCGCTAACGAATCCAATGGACAATTGATTTTGGATCATTTCATCGACACAACAGTAATGGCTCGAGAAGTAACAATCACTTGCTATGGAAGCTCGTCAACAGACAACACTACGATTTCATTCAATGGAGGATCAAGAACAATGAGTGGAACTGGACAGATTGAAATGACAATGACATGCAGTTCGAGTGGACAATGGATAAGAAATGGAATTGCAGTTCAAAAAGTTGCTTGTATTGTTGTAACTCCGCCAGGATCTACCGTTCCTATCACAACAACAATTCAAACGACACCAACCACTTCTGCTGGTTCCCTACCAAGTACCAACTGTGCCAGAAATGTGATGCTGACGATTCCGAATGGATACAATGCTGGTTATCTGTCAATGAACACTATCTCCACGGAAACATCTCTCCAAGTTGTCATGAGTTGTGCTGCCCCAACTGGTATATCGGAATCAATGCTTCTCAGTTCAACTGGTGCAATTTCGACAAGTGGAAGTCCTAACACTAACATGACAATGTCTTGTAATTCTGCCTCTCAATGGGTTGTCTCTTCTACATCTGGAACTGGAATTCCCGTCGGAACAATAATTACCAGTCTTGCTTGTGTTGTTGCCGTATCTCCATCCACAACTCTCGTTCCAGCAACTGTTGCAGCTGGATGCCAACTGTGTCCTAATCTTCCAGCTATTGGACTTCTACCAGCACAACTCGATGTCAACGAACGAAACGGACAATTCATCCTGGATCACGTCACCACTGCAACTGCCTGCCGAGTCGTCTATCTTTCTTGTGCGGGAAGTACTGCTTCTGAAAACTCCACGATTCTATTCAACGGTGGATCTCAGACAATGAGCAATCAAGGAATAACATCAACGGTGCTCACTTGCACAAGTTCGTCTACTTGGGACTGGTACGGTAGCCCAGTTGGATATGCATCCTGTAAAGTTGCCGATAGAGCTCTCACAACAACAACTGCACCGATTTCTCTCACCACATCCGCGTATATTGTACCAGGAGACACTGGATTGGCTTGCAGTAGATCAGATCTTGTTAATCCACTCATCGAAGGAGATGCAGGAGCATATTTGGTTTTGGATACAAAGATCGTCAATGGTGGCTTGTCAACCACACTGTCTTGCGCAGCTCCAGATGTAATATTCAAGTATTTCATAAGAATTCGACTCATTCAAAAATTTTCAGAATACCGCAACTGCTGTGCTAACAAACGGAGATGGAAGTGTACTTGGTCAATCCAGCAATGGATTGATAAACATGACACTCACATGCAATTCTAACTCTCAATGGGTGATATCAGCAATCAGCTCATCAACAACTGGAACTTCAGCACCGGTGGGAACTGTAGTTGATGATTTGAAGTGTGGAGAAGTTGGTTCGTTTGAGAAACATTTTTTGACGATGTCTTATAAATAAACCTCTTCCAGCTGCCCCGACGACTACAACAACCCTCGCAACGACTACAACACCAAGTGGACAATGCCAATCATGTCCAAATATGCAAGCAATTGCCCTAACGTCATCTCAATTGGTTGTCAATGGAGCAACGAATGGACAACTACTTCTCAGTCACTCTGTTGATCAATCCAGTAAATGCAGAATTGTTGTTATCAAATGTAGAGGAGAAAATGTAAGAGCCAGATCATATTGATTAAAATTTCCGAAATTTTTGATATTCAGACTAATCAAAATGCCACCATATTCTTCAATGCAAATGGTCAATCTCTATCGGCGCAATATGGTCAAGTGTCCACCTCAATGGCTTGTTCTCCTTCCAATGTCTGGCAGAGGAATGGAGTTCAAATTGATGGTGTTGCCTGCATGATAACTTCTGTAGTTGGTGCCACGTCTACATCTCCTGCTCCAATTACAACCATCGCTCCAACATCTACAAGTCAAAGTTCAAATGGACCATCTACAAGCTGTAACACAGGATTCTTCACAGCTATCTCTGCTCCTGGATACACAAGTGGATTCATGACAGTCGACACTCAAACATCTGGAAATGTGATGACTGCTGATGTCACTTGTGCCTCTCCAGTTTCCACTCAAACTGCGGCTCTTCTAGACCAAAGCAACAATCAAGTGTCCTCAGGTGTCGGATCCACATTTATGATACTCACATGTAATGCGAATTCTCAATGGGTAACTCCAACTGGAACACCTGTCACTACATTGAGCTGTGGAACGATTGCTCCAGCTACAACTACAACCATTGCAACTACACTGGCAACAGTCGCAGCTGTAAGTATCAAACGATCATAAATCAGAATTGGGTCACTAGATCACTTTATTCCATCGGGACTGATTTGATAACGTAACAATGTCATATCCCCCTGTTGCCCTTCAAACCGCGTTATTGATTTTGTCAAATAGTAGTGCGACGACTTTAGTAGATATACCAGGAAGTTCAAAAAAGATTATCACAGGACTAAATGTAACTACTTTCTTTGATGAGGTAGATAATGTTTTCTGTTTCAATGACCCAAATCAATTCATCTGTTTTATCTTTCAGACTACACCAACTACAGTACCAGCTGCCACCGATTGTTCTGCTGCTGCCTGGAACACCTGGCAAGAATGGTCTGCTTGCACAGACACTTGCGGCTCGTGTGGAACACAACAGCGGTTCAGAAGTTGTAATAAACCATTAGACACGTGTACATGTACTGGGTGGGTACCCCCAAAATGGATTTCATTCATAATCCAATATCTGATTTTCAGAACAGCATACGAAAAGGTGTACTGTAACTTGGCAGTGTGTAAATTCCCAAAGGATTCATGCTGCGATGGCTTCATACCTAAATCGTCGGGCGGCACATTCGTCTGTCTCGTAAACACAACAGCGACGTCTACATGAATATTCATAAATTATCTGACACGTGTTTAACTGATGATGTTGTTGTTGATGATGAAAAGAGAAGAAATGCATTTTTGTTAGTTTCTGTGAATCTTCGTTTAAGAACAAAGTACTAGACCTCGTTTTTTCTTCATTTTTCTCTATTTTTGCATGAAAGACGATGAACAAATATACATGCGGAGACCTAATACGAAAACTTATATTTAGCCTTCATTTAGCCGGGCGAATGCGTAAGATCGGCAAACATAGGGGCTGGATCCTGAATTAAATCTGGTTTCTGTCAAGTTTCAAGTTTTTGGTTCAAACTAAACCCAACGAAAACCTTCTTCTTCTTCGTTAAACATTATTCATAGTGGTCATTCCATTTTAAGTGCAACAATCATGTCAAAGTTCTCTTCTTCTTCTTTTAACTGTTCTCTTGTTTCCGTTTTTTGTATTCTAACTTTTCTAGTCAATTTTTCTAGTCAGGTAAAATTAAATTCTAATTTGTCTGTATGTAAAATACTTCAGTGTATTTCTCTGGGTTGTCTTGGAGGATTTGGGGGTTGTGGTTCAGCTTGCTTATTCGGATTATGTCTTCAGCCGCCTATAGTAAGTTACATTACGATTTTTATAACATGTTTTTTCTTATTTTCAGATTCAGTCAATCGGTTGTCCATGTGGTGCTGGCTTCATGTGTATGCGTGGAGGATGTGTGGCACGAGCAGCGGCTGCTGGAACGAAGACATTCCGTGATGAATCTTCTAGACCACCTGACTTGAGAGAGACTACGGTGAGTGAGGATGCGTGGAAAACCGGAATTCAAAACCACTGATGTTTCAGACTCCCGATGACCACTTTTCTACTTGTTGTTCCCTCCTAGAAGTTCCTAGTTCTTGTACAGATCTTTGCTCTTATGCCACGTATTCATCTGAAGAAGTGAGCGCAGTGCTCCTGCAACAGTCGGCATGCCCCGTTTCTTCGATTCGAAAGAACACTTTTGTGCAGCAAGGGGAACGAATCACACTGAATGCTGTTCGAATTCTCTGGTTCCACAGCATTGTCATTCTTTTTGTGATCAAGTTAGAAAGTGTCATTTTTGATTTTTTAAATGTTGTTACTTTAGAGTCACGACAAGAATGTCGATGATCTATCAATCGCCCACTTGCAGTGCGTGCAGCATTTTAATGACATTAAATCATGCTTTGTGGAGCATGCCAATTCAGAATACTTCGAAGCGTCCAATCAAGATCCCGAACTAATCGAGCAACGACAAGAAACCAGTATGAGATCAAGCTTCTAATTTCATGTTTATCTTTTCTAGGCAAAGCTAACTTGAATAAAGACCTCCTTTTTAAAACTGGGAATTCATAATTTATTGAAGTGATACCGGATCCAATATAAACAATAGACAACAATTTATTCTTTCCGACTCAGGAGTAAACAACAGGGATAAATGACAAATACACCGGTCTGTATGGAAACACCAGTTTATTTGAAGATCTTTCCTTGATTGAATTTCTTTCCTCCGAAGTCTCCCTCCCACATGAGGTACTCGTTGACCTCCTTCTTGGTGGCCTCGGACTTAGGGTCGAGCTTAGTCCAGGTGTAAGATTCGTAGTCAACCTGAAAATTGTTGCTTTCAGAATAGAGGTAATTGCTCATAAATCAAACAACTCCAACGAGAAGAAGCACTGATATTCGAAGAGTGTAACTCTGTACATATAAGAAACATATACAAATGACTACTCTTCGGTTATCTTCGCAGCTTCTACATCAACTAACCTGCCAGTCTGGGCTGAGTTCGAAAGCGAGCTTGTCTCCCTTCCACACCCAGATTCCGGAAATGGTTGAGTTGTTATCAGTTCCGAACAAGATCATGGATGCGAAGGCGTTCTTCTTGAGCTTCTCGAGTCTCTGGTACATTCCATTGATGAGATTGCAGCTCATGAAAGCAAGAGTGAGATCCTCTGGATACTTGTATTCACACTTCCAGATCGACCAGGTATCGGCATCGAAGTTCTCCCAAAAGTGTGGGATGGCCTTGGTGGCAGTGTCTTCGTTGGAGTACGACCTCTTGAAGTTATCCAAAACGAAGGTTCCCTTTGGCATGTCAGCGAATGGATCCTTAGATTTCTCCTCCTTTGGTTCGTCGTCATCAGCTGGAGCTGGAGCGGCGGCTCGCTTAGCCTCCTTCTTCGGCTTTTCAGCCTTTGGAGCCGACTTGGCAACCTTAGCGCTGAGTTCGTTGAACTTGGCTTCTGAAATAATATAAATCCCCATCAACCAACTTAATTTTCTAAATGTTGATTATTATCTAATTGTAGACTGTGTGGGACATAAACTAAGGTGACTAAGGATTGACATCAGGAAGATCCTGTAAACGAACAGTGCTTAATCTCCAACTCTCAGTCCCATGAAAAACGCGCCGAAAAGAGCAGAAACAAAAACTGTCTCAAGCAAATAACGGGATGCAAATTTCTTGCTATTTCACCACTGTAACGCCTGCTAACCGGATGATTAGCCTGCTGACTTCGCAGTGAAACAATGTCACATTTGACACGAGGCGATACTCACGATTGAATTGAGCAACTGAGGTGGCAAGGGCAACATCTCCAAGAACCTCCTTAACGGCTGGCTGGCTGACAACGGTTCTGAACCAACGAGTGACGTTGACGATCGACTTTCTAGCGGAGGCATCGAGAACGTACTGAAAAACAATACGAATCATTTTTAAAAAGCATTATGTTAACTTACTTGGAACGCTGGAAGGAGATCAAGAGCAACCGAGACATCGGCAAGAGAGAGACGCTCTCCGACCAAGTAGGTCTTCTTGACGAGAACGCGGTCGAGGACTTGGAGTTGTCCGTTGAGTTCATTCTTGTATTGCTCAACAGTTTTCTTATCGAAGTTAGCGGCTGACACGGATGGGAGAACGTATCCAAGAACAGCTGGGAGAAGATAACCCTCGGCGAATTGGAGCCATTGAACAGTTTCGGCGTTGGCGGAAGTTCCAGTCAGGTGAAGTCCAATAGACTCAGCTCCGAAGAGAAGAGCATCACCTTCGAAGGCTGGTGTCTGAAAATCTGAATTTTGATAGTTCTCAGGTCAAAGTACTGACATCTAAATAAATTAAAACGTACAACTCCGAGTGGGAACTTGTCAGCTGGAGCGGCGTCTCCGGCAAGAGTGACAGTCTTGTTACCAAGCTTGGCAGCGATCAGAACCTTTTGGGTTCTGAAGTTGTCTTTGTTTCCATACAGTTTCTGCAAAATAAAATTGAGCTCAATCTGATGCAAAATTTTGAAATTCGATCTGGCCTAAATTCCGGACGATTCTCACTGTTTTGAATCTAAGAACGATCAAAACGTGCTTAAAATTGGTTGAATGAAAATTAACTTACTCCGGTCATGATATCACCAACGAGTCGGGGAATCTAGAGAAGCGACGCTCGCGATAGAGGCGCTTGAAAAAAGTGATGTTCGTTGGAAGAAAAATCAACTGAAAGCGCTTCGTGTGTGCCCCTGGCACGCAGCCAGTGTATTAAGCATAGGGGCGCTACGCAGTACTTTCGTCCACAGTTGCAGCGCCAACAATTCTGCTCATTTTGGCGCCAATAGTATGTGTTCAAATAATCAAATCCTAAAAAACACTTTTTCGCCTTGAAAAAACTTTGAGGCAAATTCTATTCAGTTTGGGTTATTCATGACAAAAGAAAGTGTGTGGTTTTTAAAAATTTAACCTTTTCATGCATTCAAATCATGAGTAACTACCGTAAAACCTCTAATAGAACGACACCCGGATCGTCCACTTTGAGCCTATATATCTCACTTCTTTTGAAAGATATCAAAAAGTGGTTAACTAGTAAAATGTTCATCAGGATATCAGCAACATTTTACTAGTTAGCCGTTCATCAGGATATCAGCAACATTTTATTAGTTAGCCACTTTTTGATATCTTTCACAGAAAATGAGATATATAGGCTCAAAGTGGACGATCCGGGTGTCGTTCTATTAGAGGTCTTACGGTATAAGCTTAATTTCGTGCTTTTTTTGATGTTCGCTTCGATGTTCTTAATGAAAATAAGTTACAGATGAGCTTCACTAACATTAAGAACCTGGAAAATATTGGCCTTCAAAAAATATGCATTGATTCTTCTGGGACCAATAAGGAACATGTAAGAATCTAGACAGCCATCGTTATGAAGTGATCATCATTTAGGTTTATGTTTGCGACGCGGAGAGAAATGTTCTGAGATTCGATAAGAAGTCGTTACTGTCTGACGAAAAGCCAACAATTATCGAAATTCCTGATGCAACCACGTCTTCTATCACATGGTATGGAGAAAACATTTGTTTCGGGTACCGAAAAGTGGATTTCATTATGGGATCTGAACAACAAATGGTTGGAAGAGCAAAAAACGGAAACTTCGACGAAGCCGAGATTTCTGGTCCACTCGAGTTTCAAATGGATGTTACGGCTGTAGATGCAAACGAGGAGAACGTTGTTGGAGGGTCCAGTGACTATGCCGTAAAATGCATCAGCTTGAAGGACGCTGATGCTGAGTTGAAAACAAGAAGCCTTGAGGCGGAAGTGTTATGCGTCAAGCTCGATCCCAGGAATGAGTTCATCGCAGTCTCTACAGTTGATGGGATCGTTACCATTATTGACATTGAATCTTTTTCGATTGTACACACCATTACTAACGCATTTCCGAAATTCGAAACAATTGAGTAAGAACGCGGTTCTATTCGATCATACCGTTATCGGTTTTTACTTTTCCAGTGTGTCCAAGCCCCGCATCGAGATGTCGTGGTCTAAGAATGGTAATTGGTTATTCGTTCCATCCAAAGACTGCATCAAGTCATATGGACGCAACGGTTGGCAAGCGGCTGGATCCTATTGGCTGAAAGATCGTGTCTCCACGACTTTCTCCGTATCGGCTGTATCCGCGTGTGGAAAGTACCTGGCCGGCTCAACTATGGACAACCATGTTGCAGTTTGGGACTGTTCCGATTTGTACGAAACAATACTTTATTCTTCATCACACAGTAGTTTTCAGAGAGCTTCTAAGTGATAACCAGTTCAAACGAAATGCTCCTGGTGTCACTATCATCACCTCAATCGAATTCTCTCCATTCTCACAGAACCAATTGATTATTGCTGATTCAAATGTGAGTACCTTCGAATTATCTAGCATTTTCTCAAACATTTTTTCAGCGGGGGATTTGCGTGCTAAACACATCCGGAGGAGATACTGACGGGTTTTCTACAGATAAATTGGATCAAGGAGTAACAGCAAATGAGAGTGATGACGATGATGATTCAATCATTTTGAACAGAACCGCATTGAAAAAGGATTCTTTATTCAATGACGAAGCTATGGACGATGAAGATGAGGAAACTCGATGTAAGACATTATTTTATTTCAGAACCAAACCTGAAATTCAACGTTTCCCTTTCAGTGTCTTCTGACATTGGTGCCATCAAGCGACAGTACAACTTCGAAAATCAAGACATCGGCGGTCTTGAAGAGTTTGGTTTCAAGGTCGGAGAGCCAGAAGATGTGCGACTAGATATGAAACAAGAGAATACAGTTGACCCAATGCTAGCGATGTATGCAGAACCACCAGCCCCTAGAAAAATTCTCATTCCGGAACGATTCGTGTGCAATAGTTCGCCAGTTGATCCAAATGCAACGCAACGGTTTCTGAAATATAATCGAGCTGGAATCGTTCGCAGTTATGTTAATGAAGCGAATAAAGTTTCAACCATTGATGTATATTTTTCATTTATGTTAGCAACTAATTTCAAATTATTTCCAGATTGAATTCCACGACAAAAATATTCATGGTGATATTCACATTGATAACTTCGACTTGGAATACGAGCTCGCTGATATTGCATTGAAAGTCGTTGCATTGGCTAGTCTTGAAAGTAGAAGGAAAGAGAAGGATCTTGACAAGTTGAACGATGAAATCGAGGATCTAGAAACAGATGCGGATGTGAAAGAGAAGAAAGGAACGAGTGTCCTCCATGTCATTCCAATTCAAGCATTCGATAGTCAACGGTGGTCTATGACCTTACCTCGTGGAGATGGTTGTGTCGATGTTCTTTGTTCCAGTAGTCAAGTCGTCGTACTTACGAAGAAACGGAATATTCGAGTTTTCACAATTGGAGGAATCCAAAGACAAATTTTCACTCATTCGTCTCCCATTCTCACTGCTGCTTGTTTCGAAAATCGAGTGGCTATCGCGTCGGTCTCTGGATCTGAATTTTACGAACAGAAGAAAACGCCACAATGGAAATTCGAAGTTGTGGAGTATTCCCTCGATCAGAAAAGCTGGTATAAGGAATCTAGAACAAATGGCACCACAGGAGCTGTTACACGAATGGACATTCCAGTCGAAACGGGTGAACAACTTGACTGGTTATCTTATTCAAACCAAGGAAAACTGGCTATCATGGACTCGGCGTGCAACGTTCATGTTCTGTCTGCTCCGGGTTTGTGGGTCCCAGTTTTCCAAGGCTCTTCTATTCTTCGCAATCCATCTGATGGAATATTCCCCATTGTCATGACTACAAAAGAATTCCGCTACATCTACTGTCGTGGTTCTAAATATCCAATTGTCAACGGAGTGAACGCACCAACCACAACCGAATGGAAAGTACCATTCTGTCAACCCGAGAGTGTCAGAACCGAAATGGAACATAATTTATTCCTCAACGAACTATCACTCGCAGATGCTATTCTGGAACGTAATGAAGATCGAAGCAGTGATGAGACAAAAAAGTTGACGGCAACAATTGTGAAGCTCTTTGCTTTGCTGACCAAGACAAATTCAGATGGCCAAGCGGCAGAGGTTGCCGCGCTCGTCTCCTCAGGTTCTTCGAAAACGATACAGAGCTTGTGCAACTATGCCAGCAAGTGTAAGAAGGTGGCTCTCGCTGAAAAGGTCGCTGAAATCGGACGGCAAATGACCGAAGTCGACGATGACCGCAAAGCGGTAGAAGAGATTCGGCCGACAAAGAGAATCGCGTTGGCTCCTAGGAAGTTGCGCAAGGCTCCAAGCCCATTAGAAGAGGAGGAAGACAGAGATGAGGAGGGAAACGATGACAACCGAGAAGATATTTCATCTCGATACAACTCAAATTTGGATATCTCCATTTCATCACAGCCAGTTCAACCATTGGAAAGACTTGCGAAAAATCCATTTGCGAAAGGTACTGAAAAGTCATTTGGAATTGAGTCAACGTCTTCAACACAAGCATCGATGTCTATTTTCGATCAACTAGAGACAGTTTCAACCGACCAACGGAAGCGTACTCGTGAGAATGAACCGGCTGCTATTTCTTCTAACCCTACAGCACGCAAGCAGGCTAAACTGAAATTTGGTTCCAGCGTTACCCCCTCAGATGAACAAAAAGTAATCAAGCCAAAGCAAGTGAGCGAGAAGCTTCACAAATCGAATGAAAAGGAAAATGGGGTTGGTTCCCAAAACGATGTAGAGGAACCGCGAAAGAAAACGTAATTATTTTGTTTCTTTTTTGTAAATTTTGAATTGAAATTTTTACAGTGTGAGCCCATACGAAATGTGGTTGGCTGAAACGAAGAGTAATCTGCAATTCGAGTATGAGGGAGAAGAAGCCGATTTTTCAAAGTACTGTATTCAAACGTTCCGCGCACTTAGTAAGGATCAGAAGGAAGAATGGAAGGCAAAAGCCATAGCTGTCGCTCAAAACTAATTCTTTTACATTGTGTTTACATTCGATTAATTTGAAATTATGTACTATATAAACCTGATTACGTCACTTAATCCTGTTCAAATTTTTTTCGAAGCTTCGAAGTGCACAAAGAGCGCTCAACTCTGTGTCTATTACCATCTGGGTCTTCTTTTCGCTCGTTTCACTTTCAATTCAACTGAAGAGGGAGTGAAAAAGAAAGAGTTGGAGGAGCCGCCCGGAGTGAAGAGCCCTCTTTTCCTCTTCCTTGAAGGTCCCGGTTCCTCCCAACTTTTCTTTATCTCTCTTCTTTTCGCCTCCTCCACCTTTCCTTCTCTTCCAATGGTCCTTTTCTATTTCTTCGCTTGTGTGTGCTCCTTTTTCATGTCATTGTGCCACCTAAATCAATTTCCCTCGTTTTTTGTCGTTGAGTATGTGCTGCAAGCCTAGGGGACCGTCAAAATACATGAATTGGAAAGACGCAGACACTTCTTTTTTTTTGAGCTGCCGCGACAGCCGCTGCCACCGCTTCTCGTCGGCTATTTTGCTTCAAACTAAAAGTTTGAATTCATTTTTTTTTCTACTCTTCTTGGAAATATTTTTAGGTTGACTATTTAGTACTTCAGCACATTAATCGTTATGTTGAATAGACTCTGTCATCTCTCTGGTTACAACGCTGAAATGTTATATTGTTATCACAGGCAGTTATTAATGAGTCAGTATTATTTTCCACATCGTTTTTATCCGATTCCTGCTTTTTTCCAGTTCCTATTGTTAATTGCTGTACAAGCGCGCCCTGTCGACATGACAGAGGAAGCATCATTCTCGTTTTGGTCGCACTGCGCTGCGGCTGTTAAATGCGTCATTTTCCAATATTTGACATTCACTTTTGATATTGATTCAGTCTTATTTCAGAAGGCACAGATGAACCGTTTGACGTGGTACACACCTGGAGAGAGCACCGAAGAACTGCTCTGTCAAGCTGGACATGTGGGTATCTACGAGGGTGATTTAAAACAGGTGAGTTCGATTTCTGGCTGCAATTTGCAGCTCATCCTTTGAGACTAACGCTCGACTTCTTACAGACTCAATTTGAGCAAGGTACGGTTTCATTGACTATGCAACGCATTATATGGGCAGATTCGTCGGATCCTGACCGCCGACTTGTCCTTCATCATTCATTAGTGATTTCAATGGAGAAACATCACAAATCCATGTTCAGTAAAGGAGGAAAAGTCGTTGTGAGACTCGAAAAACCTAAACCTGGAAGTGTTGGACCAGTTAACTCAAGTCAATACGATACGATTCGATTAGTATTCCGCCATGGAGGAGAAGATGATGTAAGTTTTCAAAGAAGAAATCAGACGAGAGAATATCAGTTCAATTAGCTTATTTCAGTTTTTCAAAAAATATGAGGATGCAGTCAGAAGAAAAACATGGCAAAGGTCGAGTTCCGGTTCCAGTTCAAGTGGTGTAGGTTTTTAAATCTTGTTCTAATTTTTAAAAGTTATATTATTTTCAGTCTCGCGCTAGCAGCAATCTACGCTCGGTGGGAATATCTGGAATCGAAAGAAGACTGGCCGAGAACCATCAGAAGACACATGAGACCATCACACAGGCATTTGATGATATGTCGAAACTTATGGAAACAGCAAGGGAAATGGTTGCGATTTCAAAAAGTATTTCGGAGAAAGTTAGGTCACGAAAAGGAGAAATCAGCGAGGACGAGACAGTTCAATTTAAATCATATCTTCTATCGCTCGGAGTTTCTGACCCGGTCACCAAATCAACATTCGTTGGATCGGACTCCGAGTACTTCCAGAGTCTTGCCAAAGAAATCACCGATGTGCTTTATCAACATATCAAAGAAAACGGAGGAATGTGTGCACTGCCAGAAGTGTACTGTAGAATAAATCGGGCTCGAGGAATGGAATTATTATCACCGGAAGATGTGATGAATGCTTGTGGTGCACTGAGCCGCATCAACTCTCCATTGGAATTGCACAGATTTCCATCGGGAGTTCTTGTTGTTCAATTGAAATCAGCATCTATGGAGAGTACTGTAGCCCAAACGCTAGAGTTTGTTTCGAAACTGGAAAGAGCATCAGCCAACGAACTAGCCGAGTCACTAGGGATTACTGTCATTTTAGCAAGAGAAAGGTTCGCTTAATTTCAGTCAAAACTCGCAGCTACTATTTCGAAATTTCAGATTGTTAGCTGCCGAAGAATCTGGTCAAATATGTCGTGACGACTCGATCGAAGGACTTCTTTTCTACCCTAATCGGTTCATGGATTGAAATCTGTCCATTCTTCTGTCCTCATCACTTCTATCGTAATCAAATTTCCAGTTCCATACCTAATTCAATCGTAAATATGTACCTGCTTATGTTGAAACGAGTGTTTTTTTTTTAATTTTCATGTATTTAGAAATTCTAGTTTAAATGTTCATTTGCTCTCCTATGTCTGCCTTTTTTTTTAATTCGCCAAAACCTAGATCTCTTTTTGTGCTTGAATTCAATTATCATGAATCTTTAAAACTTTGCCAATGTTCAACTACTGCAGTTCTAACACCACGTGTCTTTCGTTTTATGTTTATCTAACATATGAGAAAACAACAACAGGGCTTTATCCATTTGTAGAAATGCGGGAACTAATAGGGTCTCTACTGGTATTAGTATCGTTTGCTTATGGACTGATTGAACATTTCGACGAAAAAGTTACTTTAACGCCAGTTCGTAATAATGAGCTTCGGGTCGACTTCAGATTCAACTCGGATAGAAGATTCGATTCTCGGACAGGTTTGAATCCATCTATGTGACGTCTGTTGAATCAAACATTGCAGAAGTCAACGATTTCCTCACATTCCCTCGCATCATTCAAGAGCTTCTCAATCGATACACCGTTCATAAATTAACAGTCACAATGGCGCATGGACGATGGAACCTTGACGAATGGGGTCTTCCACCTCAGCCATCAGCTCCTGCCGGAGCACAAGTTTTCGCTGAATTTGAAGCGGATGGAGAAAAAGACGCAAATGAACGAATGAAGTTTCTCGTAGAAGCATTGAATGGAGTTTTGTGTACTTCAATATCACACATCAAAGTTGTCACTGCTCCCGACTTCGTTGTACTGGAAAATCACAAAAATCAGAAACGAAATATATTAAAAAGATATGGAGTTCTTAGTGGAGAAACAACATGTACAGAAAACTTGACAAGACTGCGGAAACTACTAGCCTGCAAAGAGGTAATTAATAGGAAACTATAAGTCAAAATCAAACGTTTTTAAATTTCAGAATGGTCTCAGTACGCTCCTCCATCCTTCTAAACTTTACAACTCTGTGTATCATTCGTCCCATCTTGTTATAGAACAACAGTGTGAAAAGATTCAATGTGAAGCGAAAATGGAAGTCGGAGTAACTGTAGTGACGCGAAATCCATCACAAAAAGGACAACGTCCTTGGTCATTTGCTGATGTTTTCGATCGGAAGCTCGGATCACAATGTAAAATTGCTCGTAGCAGTCAGATTGATATCATCGGACCATCTGGAGAAATCACAACAACTGATATCAGAAACCTGACAGCAATTAGCGGTGCAGATCCATTCGACGTATCGATTCCTACTGCCGCAATTGCCCAGAAAAGATCTGTTGTAAAAGCATGGTCATCACAAGGAGGATTTGAGCAACAACATGGAATGCTCACTGTACACATCACTAACGACTATTCAGCTTCCAAGATCCAAGTGACACAGATTATACCATGTTATGTTCATTTGAGATACAGTCGCATACATTGGAAGTGTGATAAAGGAGGCAATCCTACAATTGTGAAAGTTCTCAAGAATAGCAAAGGATCAGAAGCTCCAACACTACTTCAATATAAAATGAGCCTTTCTGCTGGACAGACATGCGAACTCATCATTCCATTCGATAAACATCTTTTGAGGTTGGGATCCTGGATTTTCAGATTTCTAAATAATAATAACTTTCAGACTTGAACAGTATCCACCAGATGCGAATCACGGTATGCACATTCCTGCCTCCAGTGTATTCGTTGAAAAGAGCCAATTCTCCTATTCAATTCACTCCAACGCCATTCTAGTTCTTCTGCCAGTGCCAGACTTTTCCATGCCGTTCAACGTCATCTGTTTCGTGGCCACCGCTTTTGCTCTCGTTTTCGGACCAATTCAGCTATATTCTACTTTGTGGCTCGCTCCAGTCGTAAAAAAGTCGCAATGGGGTCGAAAAGTTCATCGTGCCATTCTTCTAGTTATAATTGTTTTCTGCTTATACGCTCACATGATGGATATCAACCTAAACGAAGTACGACGTGGAATTGAAACCTATTTCGAAAAGCTCAATGAGCTTAAATGATACTTGTAATCTGATCTGTCGATATTTTATTGCTGTGACTGTTTTACAATATTCGGGTATTGCTCTTAAATTACTTAAATTATTTATCTAATCTGTTTAATAAATGAATTGCATGTTCAACGAAAAAATTTTTTTCACTGGAAATAATTTGTGGGAAGGGAAAAATTTCGGTTGAGTTCTTCAGCTTTTCAGACGTCACTTAATTTTCAAAAAACGAGAGTAATAGTTTATATTTTGTACAGTTTGAATTGGATATTTTAGAAGATAGCTGGGCTCTAACTCAATAAAATCCGATAATCGAAAACAAAAACTGATATATGAAGGGAACAATTCGCATTGTAGATAATAGAAGACATGAACCCAGAATAATTGATCCACTGAGGACAACGCATCCCCTCCGGAGAAGCTTTTTTGAATCTGGAAGTGAAAATTCAACTTGTTAGTCTGGAAAAAAGTATACTGTAAACACTCTAATACAAGGTATAAAACGTTATCTGTCATTTGAAAAACATAGTTTCCTCTTCCAGTTAAATGCCACACCAAAAAGACATCCGCGATTCACCTAATAATTTTTGTTGCAGATTTGGCTGAAAACAACGTTTAAATGGGGATACTAGTTGAAAATGATCCAATTTTGGTTTCTAAATGAGTTATTATGTTAGCATTTGTTGATTTCTTGCGAAAATTTGAAAGAATATTCAAGAACTATATATTTAGGTATTTTAACAGTTCACAACTTTTCAAGACAATCACTTGTCTAAAAAATAGTGAATGGTATTAATTTAGAGTGTTTACGGTAGTTCAAGCTCAAAGAAATTACCGTAAGATCCCAACAGTTTAGCAATGATCTCATTCAGCAAAATCATGGAAGATCTACAATAAATGTTTTGCAGTAATTAACTGATTTTTGATACTTACACTCCAATGGAAAAAGATATCAGGATTGAAAGAATATAAGGCAAGAGCAAGATGAATATAACTCGAGCAGTTGCATCTCCTGAATTCAAATTTTTGAAATTTCATTCTTCCAGTTTAAAACTCACTTAACGCTTCATTTTTCTGCTCTTTGGTCATATCTCGAAACTTCAGAGGTTTCAAGAAAATCGGAGTGAAATGATCCTTTACAACTTTAAAAGCTTCTTCCATTTTGAAGTTAGGACAAAAATCGAAACGATGAAAATGCGAACTAACTTTTTTGCGATCGAAAGTGCCAAACTGGAAACGATAAGAAATCATGTCATTTTTATTTTCTGTTTCAGGTGGACTTTGGTGTCTACACAGTGTAGTTGAAAAATAAACATGTGGAGGTTGTTTTGCAAAAAAAGAGAGAGGAAATTTTTATTGAAACCGTAAGTACAATGAAGTTCCAAAAGAGTAGAGAGAATTAAAAATGTACATGTAATATGGAACAGTAATGTACATAAATCCAGCACCCATGGTTATAACATGCAAAACTATATACACAGCAAAACACATTCCACCCACGCTTTTTCGACAACTTTCTGAAAAATAGATTTTGATTTTGGCAGTTAAAATTAGGTTGTACCTTTTTCTGGAACTCTTGTTATCAAAATATCTCCCATTTTTGTAGCCACTGCCCTGAAAATTGTCAAAAACAAATAGAAACACTTTTTATATTCACTTACATGCTGAAGGTGAATGTTCCATAAACTGTTGCAAAGTATGGTGCATTGGCAATCACGAAAAGTCTACAGTAAAGATCTCCTGAAACACACACACATTTTTTTATTCAGTAAATCTAAATTCCCGTTACTTCTTGCATCTCTTTTCATCTCATCACTTAATTGATTGTAAGGTGTTTTACCCCAAAGGAACCATTGCCAGTACTCTTTGATTTTGCTCCAAATTGATGGCATTGTATTTCAGCGAAAATGAAGAGAATAAAGGAAATTGAAAACTAATCAGTTACATTTTGAATTCAGAACGAGCTTTATAAAGAGTTTTTAAATGTCAGAAAACTAATGCAATGATGCAAATTTGAGAAACAAAAATATCGTTTTTTAACCTTCAGACCATTGATGACGACCAATTTTTTCTATTGATAAGTTCCTCGATCAAACTACTTTTTTTGTCATTATCAGAGATGGCTTTTTTGAGAGAATGACTCGGAGTAATAAAATGATTCATTCAGAATCTGGAATTCGGTGTCCGCACAAACTCAAATTTCACGAAATCTGGAAAACAGAATCAGGATTAAAATTAACTTCGGAAAAATCCGGAATCTCTTTCCATTATAGATAGTTACAAAACAATTTTAAACACCTGAGCAACATTCCAAATGGGTACACCATGTGACATTTGGGGATGATGCGCGGTAACAAAATTTGGTTTCATATTCGATTAGAAGTGTAGAAATATATTCAAACAGTGTGAAATCTTTAGATTGCACAGCTACTCTGTGAATCAATCAAAAAACCCGGTTTTGCTACCATTAGGTATATATTTAAGCACTCCATAAGGATGGCGTTGTATTTGAGAGGTGTTCTACTACAGGTGCCGTTTTATTACAGTTTTTACGGTATTCATAGTTGTGAGTTATCCCAATGAAAAATCCTCGGATTTCCTTTCTTTTCGAAAAATCAGAAATCACAAACAGGTGACATCGAATATCATAAAACTACCATAACTCACTTGTTTCTTCATTGCTCATAAAAGAAGTAATATACCACTTTATTACTCTCATTTATCGTATATAAGATCCGAGTGCCTCCGCAATATGTACTGTTTCCTGAAATGGTTCATTTCATTTCAGTAATTCTCGTCCTAGTGACTCTATTTCAGTGTGGTTTTGCTGAGGAAACCAAATGCAATCTTTGTATGTTATGGGGCTTTCATATCTGAATATTATTTGGATTTTTTCAGGGCAAGGAAAATGTCCACCAGGCTGGAAAACGTTTGTCCGTCCACCAGCAGCTCGAATCTGTCTTCGAATCTTCCATCAGAATGCCACTTATCTTGAAGCTCAAAACATTTGTCGCAAGCAATACAACTCAAGAGTTCATGGAGTTGCGAACGTTGAGGAGCAAGCATGGCTGAAAAGTGAGTGAACCAGAAAAGAATAACAAAAGAGTTGAACATTTCAGTGAAAGCAAAACAAGTGATTACGGAGAATCCAGGATATATGTGGATCGGAGCTCGTCGCAAGGCCAATTGTTACCAGACTCCAGCAGAAATCAGTAGATCCATTAATTGTAAGAAGGAACAAGGAGTAAGAGAACCCAGTAAAAATCATAGAGATAATCAGTTCTAACAGTATTTCGAGTGGGACGATCAACACACAACCGGCAACTTCATGTTCACTCAATGGGATGTAAAAATCGGTGCACCGAATGGAATTATAAGTAATGGAGCTCCAGAGGATTGTGTTGTTATGAATGTCCATGAAAACGTTGGATACATTGATGACAAAAAGTAAGAAAGACAATAATTATTTTCTAGCTTTTTTGAAAATTCAAAATTTCAGCTGTGATCTGCCTCAACCTGGATTCCTTTGCGGTTTGAGCGACTGATTCATTCAATATAAAATTTTGCTGAAAAATGAATCGTTTATATTTTGAAAAAGTATTAAAATTTACAAATTAGAGAAAGACAAAAATGAAACAACTATCCGACAAAAACTAACCAAATGGAAAGGAAAAATGAAACCGAAGAAAGAACGACCCGATGCCGATTAAGTTGAAAAATTTAAGACAAGAAATCATCTGACACCTCCAAAATTTTAATATCGTTGTTCTCAGCACAAATAGATTCACGTCGTGTCGATGGGGATGGACGGTGCGATGTGAGAAGATGGATCTGCATTTTTCCTACGAATACTTCCTTCGAGTCATCGGCGATTTCTGGGCTAATGTGTTGTTGGATTTCGACAGCTGCTCTGAATTTTTTATAGTTTGGTTGGAATCTGCATCAAATTTCAAGATAAACTTCTAGATGCGTTAGTGTAGCAAAACAGCATACCGGAGGATAGAGCGCGGCAAAGTCTACAACTCATAGAACAAATGGACCAGCATTTAAATCAGTAGCTTGGTGCGAGCCGACATTTTATAGCCGGGCCGGGAAAAATCGGTGGTTTGGCTAAAAATGATGGCGCAGACCGTAATACCGATTTTGAAGCCGGTCGAGTTTCATTAAAGGTTGTAGAGACTGACTAGCTCTATCATCTGGTATGTTGTTTGCCCATAATTCCAATGTTGAAGCGAGTTATCAGCCGGCCCATGTCGGTCCGGAATTGGTCACACGAAGAGATCAGGGGTATCGTATTACATACTATCCTTTCTAATTTGTCCAAAACCACGCATAGTTCAAATTGTCACATCAAATATCAAAACTACTCACTTCATGCCAATCAACCGATCGAGTGCCTCGAACTTGATGGCTGTTGAGTCGATTGCGGCATGCTCATCATCGACAAAAACCTTGACACCAGTCACATGGAATGCAGATCCTTCTTCTCCGTCCACTAAAATACAACTTGTTTGTCTTTTCGATTTTTTCCATTCTTTTCTTTCTAATAATAACAAGAACGAAAACTTACCAACATCTACATCCATTACGATACTTCCATCAGCAGTGGCTGAGGTACTAGCGAGATCAGCTGATGACGTCACACGACCACGGACCAACATCGTCTCGCCAGAGATTGTGTCAAGGACTCCCTGAAAATGTTTCTATTGGGAAAATATCAAAATGTGATCCAATTCCTTACATCAAATTTAGTACGGTTTTCATCAAATATGAGACGGGCAGTTCCTTGCTCACGAACATCGTATACGATTCCTTGACGTCGTTGACGGGGCATGTTAGACCAGAGAACACAAAAAACACTAAAAAAGTGAAGGGGGAGGAAGAAGAGATAGAAAAGCCTGGGTGGGGGCCAACTAGTGAATGAGTGAAGGAAAGAAAAAGAAGAACGAATGACACAATGTTTGGTCGACGGGAAGGAGAGGATAGTTTTTAGGAGACGCAGGCTGCAGACAACCCGAAGGGAAATAAACCAAACGAAAAGAAACACACCGGGCATGTGATGCCCCTCCGAACTTATCACGCCATTGCACTCGATCTAGCTGAAACATTTCAAAGTCTTTTTTTTCTCACGAGAGAGAGAGAGAGAGAGAGAGAGAGAGAGAGAGAGAGAGACAGAAAGAGATAAAAAGAAGTCACATGGCCACGTGGTATTTAGGTCAAACCATTTATTAGTTTTATTAGATCAAAGCACACGAGACTACAAACAAAGATCAATGTAACAGTGGTGGAACGGAGTCTCCGGAGCCCTGAATAACGTATTCCTTAACTTCTGAGTCTCCACGATTCGGACATTGACAGTACTGAAATTAAGAAATTAAAGATTTGATTGGCGATCCAAAAATACAGACGCATCACAGGGAGTGTCGACACATTTGCGTAAACACGTTTAAAGAAATGTCACATGAGACGATTGTTTTTAGGTGGTTCAAAAAATACCGTAAACCTGTAATAGAAGGCTCACTAACTTTAAACTTTGAGCCACTTTTTTTTCGGTTCCTGTCAAAAATATAAGAACGTTGTCCACTGATAAATTGTTCATCGATATCTGAAGTGTTTTGTCAGTTGATACATTTTTGATATCTTGCAAAGGACTTGAGAAAATTGAGCTCAAACTTGTGAGGACCCCTCTATCACAGATTTTACAATATTTACTAGAATTTCGGAAACAACTTTTAGAAGTTCAATGATACTTTTTCAAAGTTTTCAGTGGAGTTACAGAGAAATGAACACAAGTCCTCCAGTTTGCTGTTTTTGTTTTTTACAGTTCAAAATATGTGTTTCTAAAAATAGTTTTTGTTGTAATGTGATCATTGGTAGCATCTAGTTCTTCGAAACTACTCACCGCCGCATCTGCTCCGGGTTTCCCCTGCGGTCCTGGAGGTCCAACTGGTCCTCCAATTCCTTCGATTCCTCTCAATCCATTCATTCCCTCATATCCTTGAACTCCTTCTCTTCCCAGCAATCCTGGTTTTCCCTTCTTTCCAGGCTGACCCTCATTTCCAGGTTGACCCATAGCTCCTTTCACACCTTGTCTCGGTATATAGATAACTCCATCCACACCATTCACACCTCTTTCTCCAACGATTCCATCTGGTCCAGGTTGTCCAGGAGCACCAATATCACCAGGGAATCCTGGATTTCCATTGATTCCTGGCCTTCCAGGACGTCCTCGAGGACCACGAAGTCCTCGTTTACCACGTGGTCCTTCTGGCCCAGAGTCACCAGGTGGACCACGAGGGCAAGTGAATGGAGCTTTCGAAGGTCTCTGAAAATATCCACTAGGTAATGGGATCAGTTTTTAGCTTACAGCTGGAATGCTTGAATGTGCATCAAATCCATCGTATCCATCTACTCCATCAATTCCATCATCCCCATCGATCCCTTGTTCTCCTAGTGGACCAGGTGGACCAGGAGGACACGATTGAGATGAGGAACACGCACAATTGGGCCCGAAGCTTGGCATCATGGGTTCGCTTCTTTGGAGGGTAAGAATCTCATCAGGGAACTCTCCAGATCCATCGTTTGCAAAATCAGAAACAGTTACTTGAGCTTCTGAAATATACGCCATCTAATTCTGAATTCATTTTAAGTTTTTTCTTACGATATCCCGTATAGTCGGCTTTCTGTTGCATGATTTCTCTTCTGATTCTGTCGACTTGAGCAACGTCTCTGATGAAAAATTGTATGTCAGACCAGGCGATTCTTGTATCATACTGAATTTCGGATTATTTCTTCTTCTATCTACCATGATCTGTGTACCTTTAATTTCGACATTTCCACTTCTAACTCTCCAAAAAGTGAAGTGACATCTTGAAGGATGAAAGCAATTGCTGAGATGGAAATCAAAAATATGATGCACGATGTGGTCAAAGAGCCTATCAAAATCTGACTAGTTGTGGTCGGTTTCGAAGAAAACAACATCTTCGATGGAATTTAGGTAAATAGAATAGTAGAGAAGGAGTAATGGTAAGTGGTAATCCGATTTTATACGAATGAAAGAAGAAGATCCAAATTTGTTAATGAAAGAAGTGCCGTCCAGTTCCGGTTTTATATGCAGAAAGTTTTCGAGAAAAAGAGAAAGGCGGAACGTCGTCTATAAAATGTCTCAATTCGGTTTGTCATCGCATTTGTTTTATGGATTTAACAAAACGGAAAAGATAACAGGAAAAAAAATCGGACTGCCGTAAAAAGTGAGGATAAAGATAAACATTCGAGATGAAGGTATCGACTAACGATCGGTTGCACTTACACTTTATTGACCGTGAACAATTTTTGTGGAATTTTTTTCGGATTTGACCGGTTTGAGGCTATAATTAGGTCAAACGGAAAGCTATTCAGGAGTTGATGAAAAAGGGAAATTGTTCAGAAAAGTGTAAGGGTTGCACTTAATTGTGAAAGATATATTTTCTTTCTTCTTCATTGTGCCAAGGTACATACGAAGGACCCTTCTATTGTACACATGGGCCCTTCAATTAGAGGCGGGTTTCAAACATACTTGCAACAGGCCGGGCTGTTTCCAAAAATTTCAGGGCCCGGCCCGGCCCGTCTCGGCACGGATTTTTGGAAGAAATGTTTTCTGTTTGAAAAAAAATTTGAAAAAATTTCTGAACTTTCAAAAATTTTTTTCAAAATTGGAAAACCCGGGCCCGCCGGGCCGAGCCCTGATTCTGTAAGTATGGTTTTAAATCTTTCCAGTCTGTTTTTCCTGAAATTCGATGAATTCTCGTTCAATATTCATGAAAATCTATTGCTTTCACGAAAATTGGCCTTTCAAGCCCTTCTCGGAGAGGAAACGCTTTTTCGATCTTTTTTTTTCAATTTTCGATTTATAAAAAAGTAGGTATTCTGCTCATCCCTGGCTACCTCCCAAATACTTTTGTATCATGAAACATAAATCAACAACACCAAAACTTTATTATTGTTTTACAAGTGTATAACTTTATTCCAGACGTGCCGCCATATACCGAACTCAAAAGTTATGGGTGAGTATCTTTTGAAGGGAATTTCAGAGAGAATCTTTGTTTATCAAATAATGAGAATTTTTCAACATTGTTTTGTTTGTTTTTCTAGTAAAATTTCTAAATGGGTTGTGTGAATGATAGAAAAAGAAAAAAGGAATGAGAGAATGATTTTCAAATTTTTGAGAGAGATCTTCAAGAGAATCAGTGTCAGGAATCAATAATTTACTAGGTAGAATGGTGTTCAGAATGGCGAAGCAGAGCAGACTTGAGCACATTCAGCAATCATGCATGCGCGGATCAGTCTCAATGTGGCCATGGCTTCACGTTCTCCAGCTTCTCCTGGCATGTGTCCAAGCTCGTGTGTGGCAGCCTGAAATTGATAATTAGGCTTCGTTCCGTCTGCTTGAAGATTCTTGAACAAACCGCTGCGATGGAATACCAACAATCCTTCTTACAGCAGACACATGGGATCTGGGCGCGCTCGTCAATGGCGCATGAAGTGGGTGGTTGTGGGGCGGCATTTACTAAAATTCCAAATTGATTTCGAATTTGTCTGATTTATTTGTTACTCACCAATATCGGAGACGGCAACGATGACGAGAAGAAGAGCGGCGATCATTGTCTTTTGCATCACTGACTGTGAAGAAACGGACGTGCTGGGCGGACGTTTAGGGGTACCTAAAAGGAACAAAAATAGAAAAAAAAGAGAAAAAAAAGAGAAGAATAAGATGAACTTGAAGAGTTGAAATGAGAAAAAAGGAAAAAGAGAAGATGGGGATTCAATCAAAACTATTCGTGGCTATTTTCAATATCCACTCTCAGAAAAACAGATGATAATAGCAGGAGCAAAAGGGAGAGATGTAAGAGACAGTGGCATTTCTGAATGTCCTAACTATGCCAATTACATGAAATGTGTAGGTTTGTATAGTACTTAACCAGTCGGGGTGAGCAAGAAGCTGCACAATATGACGTGTAATTTTCAAAAGAAGAATCTCAGAAGTAACTATGAGCCAATTTATATAAAAATGCTAGAACATATTCAGCTTCATCTGCGAATAAAAGTTCTGGGAAACGAACAATTATTCATAACTTTATTTCGAAAACACAATATATCAATCTACTCCTTTAGAAAAAAGGAAAAATGAAGATATGAGTTCGATTTTTTGTCATTGCTTCTCAGAACGAATGACCTGACAAAACTGATTAATTAGCATGACTGAAACTAATGAGAGCATGAAAATTGTCACCACTATCTGTGACGTACTTTTGAAAGGAAAAACGAAACAAAGGAGGTGAAAAAAGGAAGAGGAAGAAGAAAAGGGTGATTCAGAATGCACAGACGGTTGCACAGATAGACAAATCTCTCATTGACACGCGTAGGAAATTTTGGTTTTCATTTGTTCTACACTAAATCTTGAATGATATCCAGTTGTTATTTTCTTTTTGAGCTAGCTGGTGAAATATCAACTGAATAAGTTGTGCCGGGTTCTGAGAAAAAATATAAAGAGTCATGAGCCAAAAATAACTGGAGCGTTTTTAATGAGTTCTAACGAGCTCTTGGAAAACTCATAATGCCTCCCTGATCTTCTAGCCGAGGTGATGTAAAGAAGGACATATTTGGAAAAAAAGTAAAAAATTTCAAAGCGGTACGAAAGATCCCTAAATTTGTTTTACCCTATTGCACCCCCCTTACCAAATTGGCAGAAGCATTTGAAAAACGCTCGTTTGACAAATGCCTTTGAAAGTTCTGTGTTCTTGGATTACGGTAGCGCAGCTTTATATCTATGAGCTAGCCTCTGAACCCTGTGATCTCGGTATCTTTTTGGTCTCATTAGTTTTTTTAGGCTGAAGAGAAAAAAAGCATTACTTTATGGAAAAACATCCAAATGCTCAACTATACTATTTTTTTTCTCCACCCACATCATCATGTTTTAAGTGTCCTAAAACCTACTTGCAGAACAAAAGAAACATGTTGTTGTCGGGAATAAATAAATCGAATTATAGAAAATGGCATTTTGTATCCAATACAGATGTTTCTTATCTCGAATTTCATTTACATCATCCGAGAATATTCTAGGATGTTTTTGAAGGTGTTCTAGAGAAGAAAAATCGAAATAGAGTCTTCTTGTGTCCACTAAAATAGGTACACAATCTTATAATGATGATGAGTAAATATAGAAACGAAATGAAAAACTTGAAGTACGGGTGGCAGTCTGAAATGGGATTATTAATATTTTAAGATTCGGATAGAAGCATTTCTGAATTAGAAAAAAACTGATTTGATAGGACAAGATTCTATAGAGGACAGATGACGTGCTTCTCAGCTCCAAATGAAATAAAAAGGACCTCCATACAACCATCAGATTTGGGGCAGAAGACGAAGTGACATCAATCTTCTCCTCTCCCCCCCGAAACTCCGCCTCTTCAATTTTCCAAAACGTCTGCTTCTGGTGGTGACAGCTTCAGAAATTGAGAGCGAGAGATTCTATACGGATTTTTCCATTCCTATCTAAAAATAAATCGAAACCTATCGAAACACTTTCAGCTGCTTCCTTGTGGGTATAAAATGGAAACGTCAACTTTTCCTTCTTTTTGTAAAAAGCTGAAACTGAAAGTTGTCAGGAAGAGAAAATAATAAAAATCAAATGCAAATGATATTCTTTCTACAAAGTCTTTAGAGATGTGCATACATTTTTTGCGGAGGTAGAGCATCGGAAATCGTCGAATTGGGGATATGATGACTTTTATGCGAAGTGAGAGGTGGTGTAAGCACCTCAAATTATTTGAGTATGCTGAGGAAATAGGGTATACTTGAAGCCTTCAAGTTGGAGGCCGAATGAAATTCTATATCTTAGGTGACGTTACAAAAAAAAATCCTATATTATCGGTTATATTATTAAATTTGGAGAATTTGTACAATAACAAATGATAATACTATCTAAAAAGGTGTGTAACCGATCTAACTGAATTCCGATGTTTTTTGTGGTTGATAACTGCCACATTTCTGCAGAAAATAATAAATATCAAAGAAATCTCAATGGTGAATCATGCAAAGCAGTGAAGTTGCAAGAAGGCATGAAGCTGCCGTTAATCATGCGAATAAAAAGAAGCAACGGATGAATGTACAAACAAAATCAACCAAAGTATCATTGCATTACGTCGTCAGAGTCTTCTCGTACTTTTTGTTTTCCTACTCGTCTTTTTTTGCTCGAAATCAAATCAAACCCATGTATGCAGAGACTTCTTCTTCATTATCAAACGAGAAGAGTCTAGAATACAAAAGTATATGACGTGTTGAAATGATTGTGGAAATGAAAATGTAATGTTAGGAATACTGTCGGAAATGTGATTCTAAACATGAGAATCAAAAAATCCGCGGATGACAACTGTAAAGACTTGGGAAAAAGCAAAGAGGATGGGAGGGAAAAAACTAGAGAGTGCCCCGAGGGTTATGCCTTATTCACTTTGATTTACTGGCTGGACTTGATTATATCAAATAAGTATATGTCAACTGACAAAACGTTGGTGGTATTATGAAAAAAAATTTATCAGTAAACAGGTTTTTTGTTATCTTCTATAGAAATTGAGATTTTTGAGTTGAAAGTAAAAGGTGGCTTTCTATTAGTTTATGGTAAATTTTAATATTTATTGAGTGTAATCCAGATGAACAACAACCTGAAAGGACTTGTTTTGGAATTTGAGTACGTTACTTAGAAAATGAACTCAAGTGGAAATTATTTCGTTTTTTTTCAGAAGTAGATGCATTCTGTAAACTGAGAATCTGAAATGTTGAGACAGAGTTTTTTCTCTGATTATTTTTGTTTATCTTCCTTATATATAAACGCTAGAGGCGTCTGTCCGTCTTAATGTCCGTCTGTCAACTTTTGAAAAACTTGAAAAATTAATATAGATTTACGTGACCTATTTAGAAAAAGGGAAGAGCGAAGCTACGAACCAGTAAAAAACTAGATTGAATCGCGCTGAAGGCGCACCAGCTTGCTGGTTTAATTATATTTTTGCAGACACATTTTTGAATTATAATATAAATTGTCTCACAATCAATCAGCCATTCATACAGACAATAATAGGGGGTTTTGATACTTTTGGATGTCAGGAGGGAAAGTTTGGGATAACATTTGGAAATATATAGCAGAGATACAGATGAATACTATGTTGGGAAAATGTGAATAAAGAGAAAAAAAACGTAATAAAAAGCCCACTCACTCATTCGTCACCAACTGTTGAAAACTACTGGAAAACATTAAAAACATACACACGAACACACAGCAGTGACCTCCCTAGAGGACCCACCGAATCTCACTCAATCAAATCGCAGAAGGTTCTGTTTCCGTTTTTCTTCTTTTGTGAGCAACGAATTCAATTTCAGCGATTCGTGAGTAAGTGTGTTTTTGTGTTTTTCACTAGTCTCCACAGACAGAAAACCATCAGAATATCTTCAGACGAAGAACAGGATAGTAGGATTAAAGTTATAAGGGAAATTAAAAAACAGGGATAAAGTATTCTAAAAAGCAGGAGCGTTCTTGCCAAGTTTATCGAAAATAAGTCGGCGGATAACTTCGCACTCCTTTGTCAGGCGTTCGGCTTCATCACGAAGATAGGCATTTCGCTGACTGAGAGTTTCCTTGGCACTGACAGAAAGAACACGGTTCTCTCGGAGCTTTTGACGGTATCGGAGAGCAGCTGCACGATTTTGTTGTTTCTTTCGTTCAGCGATCTGAAATAAAGTACATTTACTATTAACTATTTTCGGGTAGTATAATAGAATTTTTAAGAATCTGGTGCACCAGAATGACATCATTTCGAGACAGAATAGTTTAAACTTTTCAGTTATTCATTGCACAACTTTGTTTCTCGCCCACAGAATTTCTTACCTCATCATCCGACAAGTTCACAAGGGAAACTGGAGCAGCCCGCGGTCGTTTTGGAGCAATTAGACTATCATCTGATGACTTCCTCTTGGCAGCAACCGGAGCGGAAGAAGCTTCGGATCCTTCAACTCGTTCGACGATAACCTTGTATTCTTGACCATCGTCCCCACGGATAACAAGAGTTTGCCCAGGGGTAACGAAAACATCACGAACAGATGAAGAAGTTGAAGAAGAAGACTTCCTGCTAACCGAAGAAATATCAGAAGAGGTAGATGGTGACGGCACTGCGACTTCCTCGATAACCATTTCCTGACGGACTTCAGCGATGAGAGAGTCAAGGAATGGAATCTCAGAATGGAGTTCTTCGATGGTGTATGGAGAAGTTGATGATGGAAATGGAGATGTTGATGGGAGGGATGATGTTGCAGAGTTCGGAGAGTAGATACCTGCTGGAGAGTATTCGGAATGTTCGGATGTGAAAAGGGATGGCGAGGCATGATCAAAAGTTGGCTGATTGATTGGTGATGTAGAGTATTGATGATTATGATGATGATGGTGGTAGTTGTAATTACAGAAATCCTTCTTAGACGACGACGGAGCGTTTGACAAAACACTGCACGGAGGCATCATCCGAGGTCTCGCAGTATCCATGATCATGCTGCTGGTGTTGTTGGTATCCGAGAAGATAAGACCCGGAGCCGTCGATGAAACTGGACCCGATTGAAATTGACATTCCGGAAGGCATGGAGGAAGAGGAACGCTGAAAATATATTGTTATTTTTTCCCATTCATGTGTTCTTTTTCACCTAAACATTCTCAACCAAATCAGCCCAATTCTAGTGGACATTTATATTCTCTGTTTTCCTATTATTAAAAAGAACAAATCTTGTAGATTTTTTTTCAATTTTATACTTTTTCTTCCAGAAGGCGTGGCAGACATAATAAAACATCCGATCATTCTCCAAAGGAACAGATCAATTTGTGCATTGATATTAATGCTACAGGGTGTAATGTGATAGTTCACGAGGTGAACTATGCGCTATTTTAGATCATTCCAGCTTACCATTTCACATTGTTCGGCTCCGAGAAGACAGCATGAGCAGGAGCAAGCGGTAGCGGCGGTGGTGGTGGCGAAGGCCCACTTAAAAACACACTTGCTGTCGGGGACAAGCGCGGTGCAGTTACGATTAACCGGCGATTCGCCACAGCGAACTCTCGACTCGATTTCCTAAATTCTTAGATATTCCAATTTGCGTCCAACTAGCTCAAAACCCACGGCAGCCGAGGTAGCACAAGTGAAAGTTTGGTAGTGAGCCGGGTCAGCGACGAATTCGGCCGGCCAAACTCCCCACTCGTTTACGGTAGCGTTGCATTCTTCGAACGGAGATATGAACGGAGGCGGCGGTGGTGCAGTTTCTTCAGAGGTCATGACAGCGTTTGGTTGAACGGTGAACAAAGACATTTTCTGAAATATGAGATATGATTTGATCGAAGATTACTTCTGTCATATGCTATTCATGTGAACTGAAACTGTACCGTACCAGTTGAGAGTTGAGAAGAAGAGTCTTCAAAGGTGGCTTGAGAGCAAAGAGAGCGGAATGCGCGGAGAGCGACGAGCGGCTGAAGTTGAGTTGAACCTGAAAAAAAAACAGAATGTTATCATTTGGAAAGTCATGAGGATGGGGAAAAGGAAAGGAAAGAAAAGTACGGGTGAAAGTTGTAGAGACAGGTATAAGGCGTTTTATGAGAAGACTAAAATTTCCGAAGAAGATAAAAAGTGAAATTAAATATGACAGGAAGAACTGTTTTATAACAGCCAAGTTCATTTCTTACAATTAAGGAAGATTAATTATTAATCTAAGAGATATCGTCAGTGTTTGAAGAGAGGCATTGTTCAAAATGATATCGTCTAGCAGAGACACGATGATCGATGCCATATGAAGCTATGTGATGAAAACAAGACAGTCAAAACAGTCAGTCAGTCGTTGACCTATTTGCTACAAAACTATGTTCTTCCAGGGAAAAGAAGATAGGCTAGGACGCAGTTGGCAACATGCCAAACGGTCCACCACGTGGGTGGTTCCGAGACTGGATGCGCAATATTTCGCAATCAAGAATACCTAGGGGTATATAAGTACATGAGTTTTCTTATTTTGGAAGACAGGGCAAAACTGCTGATAATGAAGGTATCGAATCAAACAAAATTGAGAAAAAAGAAATACCAATCGTTTTGACAAGGAGAAACACAGTGAGGAAACAGCAGGACAGGGGAGGTTTTCCTTCTTCTGTCTCGGTCTCTTCTCTCTCCAAAAATAATAGTGTAGAAGAAGAAGAGACTCAGATCAAATGTGATGCAATAGTTTTGCGTGGAGTGGGTGAGGAGGGATGCTTTCGAGACGATGGACACATTCAACACACTGTGCACCGGTTGTATGATGACGTTAAGATTTTTAGATCGATATAGGGTGAGAGGGCAAATGATGACTGGAGAGCTTGTCAGATAAGATAGGGAGAAGATAAGCCGTTTTTTTTTCTATGATGATTATTGTTTCGTGGAAATATCGAACGATAGAGAAGAATAAGAAGACGATGTAGTTCGTCTCTTGATTAAAACTTGTTCTGTGTTGTACTATCGCAGTCAAAAAATAGATTAGAACAGTGAGATGCGTTGAGTGATTTATGAAGATGCACGAATTCAGTTGACAGTTTATGACCTAGAGAAAAGTTTCATAGAACAGAAACGACGACTTCTTTTTGCATCGGAAATAGACTGTTACCGTGACTCTTTTCGATCAAAACACAGCGAAGGAGGAGGTGTTCATGTGAATTACACGGGATTGGAGTGTGATTTAGAAACCCGAGCCAATCAAATCTGACGAGATTTTATTGGTTTCAAAGTACGAAATGGAAACTGATCAGGTATCAATTTGGAACGGGGTACATAGACATAAATTCAAAATAATCGGGATACAGTGGTAAATTGAATTATCGAACAATTTTCTCCCAAAAAACGATAACAAAATGTGTTTTCTGTTTGATTATCAGAGTAGCAAAATAAGCAAATGGTGTGAATTTTTAAAATTCCTCTGCTCCCATGTGAATCAAGCAAAACAACTTTGTTTTGCTATCTCCAGTCACATAATAATGGTGGCGACTTATTAGAAGGGGTCTTCTACTACTGGTAGCGATTTGGGCCCCATATAATTTCAACTCAATTCATCTCATGTCAGTTTCTGTAAAAGATAACTAAACATTTTCAACATTGAAATTGTAGCTGAAGTTATAGTTAATGTTTTCCTAATTGGCATTTTTCATATCTCTTGCAGGAATTGATATATTTACATTGGGGGCAAAATTCAAAGTCTCAGGGTCCTTCTAACAACAGTCGCACCGTAAGATTCTCGGGCGTTGCCAGCTACTTCTGATAGGAAATTTGCCAGATTCCGGATATGTTCGCTACTAAAACCGACCGATCCAACAAACATAGGACAAGGTTCCGATCTTGTGGAATTTCAACTTTCGACCAAAATCTGACCACGGCCCGCTACATCCGTTTACGGGAAAGTCACCACTAGAACCTGACCAATATCCGTACAAAAGCCGGACCACCTCAACTTCTGACCAAAAATTACAAACCGACAGCCGAGATCTTACGGTATCACTTCAAACAGTCTGCAAATTGAAATTCGAAGACTCTAATAAATAGGAGTTGAAGTGGTTAGCACCAAAGGGACAATGTATGGGGTGCTGGTCTAGAAGAATAAAATTTTTACTGTTTTTGTGAGAACTGTTAAAATAATGAAAGAAGAATAACATGTTGTCTAGGTTAATTCAACATTCAACCAGATTCTCGATGTTTAAAGGATTCGGTAAACTAAAATTTGAAAAAATAAAATTTCACCAGGTCAGAGATCAAGTAATGAACAAAATAAGCAAGCAAACATGAAAATCCTGACTAAAAGTCTGACAATTTGTTCAGTTTGATCTATTGGTCTGATTGAAAGCCAATGATTCACAAAATTTTATCTTCGAACTCATTGTCCGCGAAGTGATAGCGAAACTAAGCAAACAAACACCCAGTGACAAATTGCGAAATATTCCACAACAGCTGAATAAAAAGGCAGACTTTTTCGAGGAAAGTCAGCAGTTCCAGCTACTTTCCTTCTCAATTATGGACGACGCTTATTTTTGGTGAGTTTTTGTTTATTTTTGTTTACAAGGGAGTTGAGCTTGAGGGAGCGGGTTTAACTTTTTTTGAAATTTTGGGATCAGATAGAAGAGCTTATGAGGATTCCAAATCTGTTAAAAAAATCAGCAAAATGCTCACGTGAGCTGAGTTATGACCTAGAAACGTTTTCCTATGATTAAGCAATTTCTCGTGAAATTTTTTTCACGGAATAGTGTATTACTTTTCAAACAATAGATTTCAATCAGCAGTGTGGTAAAGTGGTAAAATGGCAAGTTCAGAGGAGGAAGGTTGTAGGTTCGATTCTCCCGATCCCAAAAATTTTGCAAAATTTTTTTTTGTTTTATTTTAAGCTGCCATAACTGGCTCTGGAATAAAATTTACGCAATTTAAACATGTTTTTCGGGAGTTCCTCGTTATGAATAGGCATTTTCCAGAATAAAAACAGACATTTAATTTTTGAAGAAATTCACAAATAGGCTCATGGGTTCCTCGAAGATTTTTCAAAATTTTTTTTTGTTTTTTTTAAATTGAAAAAACAGTTGAGGATTCTAAACACATTGGTGGCATTCGATGACAAACTGCTGGAAACACCCAGATAATTGGTACTTTCTATAAACTTTCCGGTCGAAGCAATATTGAATTGGTCTGTCACATTTCGGAGGGCAACTGTCCACATAACCACCAGAATACCAAGCATACTGTCTCCATTCTTGGAAGATGGGAGAGCGCATCTGCCAATATGCTTGGCTCAGGATCTGCAATCAAAAAATGAGGG